CAAGAGACTGGGCGCCGTCCGATGCCGGGCAGACGGTGGCAGAGCCGGCATGAGAATACGCGGAAGATGGGGAGTATCACGTCTTTGGGGCCGTTGCGGCTGATCCAAGCATGAAGGCTAGATATCTTGTGATGGAGCACGCGAGCAGTGTCCGTCACAAATAAAGGATCGCGAGAGGATCGAGAGAGGAGCGCGATGTGCGGCTGGCATGAAGCACATGAGTTGATGCGCTGGCCTTGGCTCGCTTGATCCCGTCCTGTTTCTGCGATTCGTTTCTCTCTACAATGTCTTGCAAAGGCACACTGGCTCAGCATGTATTTCCTTTCCGGGCACTTGGGCGCATAATATACAGCACGCCCTGTGGTAGCATGTGCCGTGTCAAACGACATGCACATGCACATACACGGCACACGTACAAATATTCCGTGCCAACGACACGCTGATATATATCTCCGCACACAGCAATACAGTGCATCTGTGCTCAGTACATAGGTGCTCAGTGGAGCGGTGTATTTGTAGTTGGAGAGTGTGGTCCACCAGCTCTGCACTTTGTCCAAATCCAATCTAAACTGCCAGCGATCTGCCCTACTCCTCGGCACTTAATATACAGGGCTCACGGTCTGGGCATGCAGCGTTCCAGCGAGACACAGGCTCTCCACTCCGCGTGCTTTTTTGCAGTTGGGGCATTTTGTTCGCCGTTTTGTGATGTAATTGCGCTTTTATGCTGTGTGGGCCATTGTTTCAAAAAGACGACCGCTGTAGGCTGCAGGACGAAGAATGGCAATTAACAGGCAAGGTACGAATTAGGATAGGTCGTATTACGACGGGAAGGAGAGGGCAATGGATCAACGGCTGAATCACACAGCGTCGTATTCACTCTCGCAGTGCAACTTTGGTACGGCATGCACGAGAAGAGAAAGTCGTAGCGTGGCAAATGAGATTCAGAGCAGAATTTCTGCCTCGCGCGGAGAAATAGGCGTGGAATAGGGAGAGGTAATTACTTCGAGCCACTCGCTGTCGGCAGAACAGCGGGTTCCAGATCGTGCAGACGGCTCTCGCCTTTTTTGGTTTATATTGAACAAAAGCTTGTCGAAAGCGCCATAGCGTAGCACGGTGCAATCTATTTGCGGCACAAGCACCGGCGCATTAACTATCTTCAGCAGGCGCAGCCTGTCGTGATTATCAAGAGTGCGCCGCGAACGTTCACGTAGCAATACAGAGTTGATTACATCACATGCCCGTGAAATAGAACAGACGCTGGCGGCTCCCAGTAGACCCGGCCACAGACTTGCCTCGGAAGCAACGTTGGTTTGTAATGGCGCGAGAGCAGACCGACGAGGAGAAACGGCGTCCAGGCGTCCTTCCGCACGCACGTTGCCATGTGTGCCGTCAAGTACCAGCTTGCCAACGCAGCATCCCCTCCTTTGCAACCACACTAAACCACTGAAAGTGTAGGCGATCGTATCAGAAATAAGAAACAATCGACAAAGTGCAGCGCATGGAGGGAAGGCGACAATGAATCGGAGAAATAAAAAATAAAAAATGGGGGGTTAGAGTTGCAGGATCGACAATGCAGCGCTGTTCGTCTAGAGCGCAAAAGCGTGAAACGTGTGAGTATGGCAAATGCCGTCGACCTATCAGGCGCTGATGCCCGCCCGTCGTTGCTGCACGTCGTCTAATCCGACCAGGGTTCTTATGTGTTCGAATTGGCGGTCAGCAACACAGGCAGAAATGGCAATTTGTGCAGGTCTGGTTTCTCGAGAGTCTGTTTTGTCAAGATCTACGAGCTTTAGTTAAGCAGACTTTATCTTATGGAATCGTATTTTTGTAGTCGATTACACTATGAGATCTGACATTGGATGAGAGGTTGTATGCTGGAGTTTTTGCTTTCGAACTAGTCCTTATGTTTCGTGGTTGTAGGTGAGCCTATGTTGTTACAAAGTTATGGTTGTCAACTCAATTAGTACAGACCCACATTTCAACAGTCAGTCTTTCGTGACACGAATCGAGTATTTTCGTGCTCACAAAGTAAGTAATTTCTTTAAAAAAAAAACCACTTCTTTGTAGTTGAAAAGCTTCAGCATCGACAAGCCGCCATAGCGGTTCCCGTCTGTGCAGTGGTGGCCAGAACATATACCGAGAAATGATACTACACAGCCACGAACAATTTACAGGACCTTCAATATCTTCAAATACCACGTGATCAAACTTTCCTTGTTGTGTTACACCGTTGTGCTCCGCAGTCGCCGCACGTTAAGCCTCTTCCCGTCCCAAAAGCCGATGTCGCCTACGGAAATACCCAACTGTTTCCGTACTCACCATTTTTGGTAGCTCATGGTATGTCGGGAGGGCGGCGATCAACACCCCCTCACTTGCCCATCCTGAGCGGCTGAGGAACTCTTGTTGAAGAGTGCGGCTCAGTGGTAGTCACACCTGCCCTGTATTTCGTCTAACTGCTCTGATCAGTCGGAGCAGATGCCAATGTAGTGAACCAATGAGACACACTGCAAAGCGACACGAACGGCCGGCTCTGCTGCTGTTCGTCCGTCTCGTCAAACTGCCGTAACATCCTTCTGAAAAAAAAGAAGCTTAATCTGGCACGAGGTTCTTTCAACCGTACTTTTCCGGCGTGGCTTGCCATAGGGATACAAACGGCAATGCGAGTATGCTATGAACAGCTTCCTGCCTGCGGTGCTTCGCCGTGTTTACAGTGAACCGTCGTCAATATCTGCGATCCACACTCGTCGTCTGTTGTATTCATTACAGCCACTTATTGCAGCACCACCTCACCTTCCGCTTGCAGCTGTGCCTTGCAGCCATGTCTCAGCCAGTTTCGTCTTGCGAGACATTTCCTTGTCCAGAGTCCTCTCCACAGGTACGGAGTACAGGCAGCGTCTCGTACCTGGAGAAAGCCGCAACGGTCCAATGGAACCAGTAGACCAGTTCGCCCCATGAAGAATCTCCGAATATGCAGCCACGAAATTACGCCGACGGAAAGGCGTGTCTTTGGTCTCTGTCACTCTGTCGTAAGTTTGTCTCCAAGGTGAGCCATTCCCGCAACGGCACGTTGGCGTGCAGCACACATTGCGGTGCAGAAGCGAGAAATTCTGTCTCGGAGCCAAAACATGTCGCCGTGTTCGTCTCGTTGAGCCGTCCGAGCCGTCTTCGTAACGATGGCATTGCCACTCAAGTCGACAGTAGACGACCTGTGTTGAGGTCGTTAAAAGTATTGTTGTTTGCTGCTTAGTACATCGTAACAACATGCCCATCTCTTGTCACCGCCGCCAGTCATGACGAAGCCGCGACAGGACGTTTCCCCGCGGCATCATCATCGTGTATGCCAAGCAAGGAACGGGTGCAGGTCAGAAAAGAAGCTACCAGGGCGCCTTTCGGCATTCGGGAAACAACCGGCAAGGCGGCTCTTTTGCCTTAAAAGGAGAGAGCCGCCAGGCTAGCTGGTGAAAAAGACCAGACCAAATACGACGTCCGTTTTAGGGCAGGTGATTGGGGGTGGAGAACGGCTTGACGCTGGCGGGAATGGTCATGGGGTGAAGGCATGATGACCAAAATATGGTGGCCCAGTCAAGAAGATGCGCAGCGCATGTCTTCGACGACGACCGGACTCTTCCTGTTGAGCAGAGCTCGAGTTGCGCATTGTAATAGCCTCGCGTGCAAGCTCTTTCTCTTTATGAAATACACCACGTGCACTTTCCCTTAAACTGTGGCCTGCTTTGTTCCCACCTGCCGTACCCCAGCGATGATTGAACGTGTTGAGGCAGGCGCGAGTGGTCCTATTTTGTTGGGGTCTGGCGCCCCAGCGATGTGCCCCAGCGCCCAATGTCATTCAAGCCCCCAAAACGCAACGGCGGTAGACCGGGGGACGGGCGACATGGTGAGCATGCCACCCATGCATCCCCGTGACTGTTTCTTGCTCCCTTTGACTCGACCATGAGGCCTGGTTTTGCGCGCCTGGCCCTTCCTTACCGTTGCAACGTATGCCGTATGCCCGAATGCTGATGTCACTACGTGACTACGGCAGGCACGGTGGATACCTAAGCAACTCGCGCCAAACTAAAGGCAGCAGGCAAGAGCGGCTCTCCGCATTTGGCGTCAACCCATCAAAATTTTTGTAGGGAAGCTGCAAGGCAGGAAACACGAGCCAAAATGAACCCCAAAGTCCGCCGCGCGACTCGCAGAAGGAGGAAGGCCCCACCGGCATGATTCGTCTTGCCTCCTGCTTGTCCCAGCCAAGGCCGGCCAGCCGCTTCTGACTTTCCACTTTCCCAATCCGATGTTGGCAGAGAAAAAGACCTCTGACCTCTGGAGAAAGAAAAAAGCAAAGCGTCATCCTTGTTTCCAATGCCACATGCCCAACCAATACGTCGTGCCACGCCCACCGGCCCTGTCCTTGTGCCTCGCTAATGTCCTGGATGTCCTCAACATCTTTTCCACTCCTCTCCCCTCTCCGTATTCCGCCCGGCTGAAGCTACTGCTTTTTATTTCTTTTTCTTTTTTCTTTTTCTTTTTCTTTTTCCTTTCCCCCAGTACTTTCTTCTGTCTCTGACTTCATTTCCTTCGAATTCTCAACGTCTCCCTCGCATTCTTGCAATCCATTCGCGGGCCAAATTTGTCCCTTGCTTCTCCTCATCCTCGGCATTGATCTTCATTACCTGTTGTCCAGCCTTGTTGTTTTCTCGCCTCTTCTCGCCGTCGCCTTCTCAACGCGGACCTCGGTATCGCAGCATTCTCTCCACCGACAGCGACGACATCACGGGCATGAGAGGACGAGGGCGTCTTTTCTAACTCTCGAGTGCCTTTGTCGGGTACCTTTGCAGAACATTGAACCTGGAAACATCAAACATCGAAACAGTACCGACAGCTCCTCTCGTCGACAACCGTCCCTCCGAGGCCGCGCTTCCTCGATTCGCCCCGGCGCCTCGCGTGCCTCTCGTCTCTCGTCTCTCCACCCTGCCCTGCGTTCTCCTCCCCCACACAACGCCATGCAGTACGTGCGCAACTTGAGCGACTCCGTGTCGACAGCATGGAACTCCATCAACCCGGCCACCCTCAGCGGTGCCATCGACGTCATCGTCGTTGAGCAGGAGGACGGCACTCTGATGTGCTCTCCCTTCCACGTGCGCTTCGGCAAGTTCTCGCTGCTGCGGCCCTACGAGAAAAAGGTCGAATTCAAGGTCAACGGCGCCCGCCAGGACTACTCCATGAAGCTCGGCGAGGGCGGCGAGGCCTTCTTCGTCTTCGAGACCACCGACGACATTCCCCAGAGCATGCAGACGTCGCCCATCTCCTCGCCCGTCAGCAGCCCGTCCCTCGGCCCCCAGACACCGCCCTCCAGTGCCACCGAGGCGTCTGCTCTGCCGTCGTTGCAGGAGCCCTCGCTGCTGGCTCTGGACATGGAGTCGGGCAAACCGCGCTCTGCCACCTTGACGTCCCGCACCGCCCCCAAGGGCATCGTGCACTCCTCTACCGCACAGCAGAAGAACGGCCTTCTCACCCCGCTCTCTGCCTCTCCCGAGATCTACGCCGGCCGTCCGCGGTCGGGCGACTGGGGGTCGCTTGCGCAGCGGTCACAGAGCGACGACATCCTGCGCCAGGCCGCCCGCCAGCCGTCCCTCACGGCCGGCGAGTCGACCCGCGCCGAGTCGGTCGAGCGCGAAACGAGCAACGGCAGCCCGAAGCTGTCGGAACGCTCGCACAGCCCGCCCCCGCTGGCCCCCGCCGAGGCCATTGAGCGCGCGATTGCGCTCTCCAAGGAGCTCGAGTCCGTCAACATTCCCAGCCGCGTCACCGACTCCGGCGACCTGATGCTCGACATGACCGGCTTCAAGAACAGCGAAGAGGAGGCCCTGCGCGCCGAGGTCCTGGCCCGCCGCGTGCTCGCCAACGAGCTGCAGGGCAACTACGACGTCGGCGCCCTCTTTGGTATGGACGAGCAGGGCAACCTGTGGATCTACAGCAGCGAGGAGGCCAAGGAGGCCGCCATGCGCCGCGTCATGGAGTCCTCGGGCATGAACCGCAATCCCGCCGTCGCCATCGACGCCGCCTCCGACCCGGGCTACCAGAGCGACGACAGCGCCAACTCCACGCCGCAGCTGAAACCCGCGCACCGCCGCTCCGAGTCCGACGTCGGCCAGATGGGCCAGACCACCCCCCCCCTCGTCCCCGGGCCCTGTGGCCGCCGTCGGCGACCCCAACCGCAACTACGCCAAGACGCTGCGCCTGACGAGCGACCAGCTCAAGGCGCTGCGCCTGCAGCCCGGCGAGAACACCATGAGCTTCACCGTCAACAAGGCCACCTGCTCGGCCTACATGTACCTGTGGAAGTACGGCGTGCCCGTCGTCATTTCCGACATTGACGGCACCATTACCAAGTCGGACGCCCTGGGCCACGTGCTGAATATGATTGGCCGCGACTGGACCCATGCCGGCGTCGCCAAGCTCTACAGCGACATTGCGGCCAACGGCTACAACATCATGTACCTAACCAGCCGCTCCGTCGGCCAGGCCGACTCCACCCGCACCTACCTGGCCGGCATCCTGCAGAACGGCTACCGCCTGCCGCGCGGCCCCACCATCTTGTCGCCCGACCGCACCATGGCCGCCCTGCGCCGCGAGATTTACCTGCGGAAGCCCGAGGTGTTCAAGATGGCCACGCTGCGCGACATCCGCAACCTATACGGCACCAACACGCACCCCTTCTACGCCGGCTTCGGCAACCGCCTGACGGACCAGATCTCGTACCGCACCGTCGACGTGCCGCGCAACCGCATCTTTACCATCAACGCCAATGCGGAGGTGTCCCTCGACTTGCTGAGCCTCAACATGCTCAAGCTGACCTACGTCAACATCACCGAGGTCGTCGACCACTACTTCCCGCCCATCAGCACGCTCGTCAAAGGCGGCGGCGAAGAGTTTACCGACTTCCGGTACTGGCGCGACGCGCCGCTGGAGATGGACGAGTTTTCCGACAGCGAGTCGGACGACGACGTGGACAACCACCGGCACCACCGCGGCCGCCCGCTGCCGAAGCGGCGGACCAGCCGGTACGACGAGGTGGAAGAGGAGGAGGAGGACGACGACGACGACGACGAAGAAGACGATGACGAGTACGACGACGAGGAGGAGTACGACGACGAAGACAATGGCGACATGGGCGACAGTTATATGTCGCGCAACTCCATGGACGACTATGGCGAGGGCAGCGTGCTCAGCGGCGACTTGGAAGGCGAGGGCGACGTGGAGGACGAGCGCATGGGCGGCGACCCGACCGTGCAAAACGTGCAGAACGTGTCCATTGCCTCCATCTCGCGCGACGAGCCTCTGCCGACGACAGAAGGCGACGACGACGACGACGAAAACAAAGCCGAAGGAAACGAGCCGCAGCCTGCGCACCAACCCGCGGCTGCGACCGACAACAAACTCTCCTCGTCCGCCTCGAGCTCGGCTGCCGAAGACGTCGACGCCGAAGCCATTACGGGCGTCAAGAATCTGGTCATTGACCGCCCGACGCCGAAAGAGTAAAACCGCACGCTGCCATCTTTCCGCACAAGTTTTGCACCTCTGGGCTTTTGCCTGCTTGCTCTTTTAGACAGCATTTGCGCACACGCATTTCTAGATACATTATTTGACAAGAGGTGAAGGAGGAGGATATCATTGGCGATGCACATGATCCACATCATTTTTCTGTTCTTGTCTAGTCTTTTTGGGGACTTGGACTGTCTTGGGACGATATGACATCGATTCTGAGGAACTGCATAGCGAGGCGTTTTTGTTTTTATGGGTTTTTTGGTTTTTTTTCTTATTGTGTCATTTCAAGACGCCTTACCTCACCTTTGTTAATTGAAATAAAAATAAAAATAAAAACAACCCAAAATGAAAACGCAAAGTTGCGAATGTAACGGGCCAATTGTCACTCGCGCCGCCAACGTTCCATTAGGCAGCCGAGCAGCCGTCCTGAGTCACGGCCGGCTGGGTTTGGCCGAGGATGTGATTGTGACGAAGAGGGGTTTAGAGCGTGTTGTGGCCGTTTTGCAGACTCAGCTCTTTCAAGTATAATTGATTCGATCAGGGGACAATCATCAAGCAAATTCGAGCTCGACTTCGAGCTCGAATTCAACAACCGTCCACAATGGCCACGTCGAAACCTACTTCTGACACGGCATCTGCCTCTACCGGCGAGGCTGTCCCCGCTACTGCTCCTCATGCCGCGGCTGCCAACGAGGCAACGGCCAGACCCCAGGCACCGCTCATAGCGGCCGACAGAGTAGAGCTGTGGAAGAAGCATTCGTACTTTGAAACGCTGCCCGAGGACATTGCGCCCATGCGCCAGCTGCTACGTGACTACAGCCTCATGCCGGCCGACGCCATCGATGCGCACTTGTACGCAGTCCGCGACAAGCTCTGGTCGGTCTACCAGTACCCGTGCATTGGCCGCTTTGCGTTTCTCAGCCTCGGCATAACCAAGTCGCCGTACTACCAGGAGGCCGTGACCCGACTGACGTTGGCGTCGGCCGCTCTCAACCATGAACGCCTGCTGGACCTTGGTTGCTGCGTCGGTCAGGTGCTGCGCCAGATGGCACACGACGGCGTCGATCCTCACAAGTTGTCCGGGGCCGATCTGCACCGCGAATTTATTGACCTGGGATACGAGATGTTTGGCGACGGCGCGGGCGAAAGCGGGGAGACAGGGGCCGATGGGTTCACGTTTGTCGCTGGCGACATTCTGGCCGACGGTCCGAGTCCCTTGGACGCGCTCACGCAGTCCGTCACCATGGTCCACGCCGCCAACTTTTTCCATCTCTTCAGCTGGAACGACCAGGTCAAGGCGGCTGTACGGGTTGTGCAGTTCTTGAGCGATGCCCACACGTCCAGCGACACGTCCACGGGCAGCGCGGACGACAAGGCCACGGGCATTTCTGTCTTTGGCGCCCAGCTCGCGCACCGCGTCCCTGGTGAGCACCGCATTGTACCGCACAGTCCACGAACGCGCTACCTGCACGACGCAACGACCTTCCAGAAGCTGTGGGACGAAGTGGGCGCGGCCACGGGCACACGGTGGCGCACGGCCATGGTACCGACCGCGAGCGGCATTGGGGAGGCGTTGACGGGCAGTCCAGACGTGATGTATGTGAGGTATGGCGTGTGGTGTGCCTCTGGCAAAGGATACAAAAGGGAGCAAAAAGAGTGAAGAGAAGAGGGGCGACGAGGGCGGGGATGAAGTCCAGGTTTAATTAGATTAGAAATACGACGTACTGTGGTTCAACATGGAAGGTACGATGAACAATATCTGACACTTTCGCCAGGCACGACCGAGATATGTGCCTGCCTCATTTGTTTTGTCCGGTGCTCGGCCGAGATGTCATGACCACCAGCCTTCCGCCCACTAAGACATACGTAATAAGGCGCTGTAAATTAACACACGACCACGTCGAACAGCGCATGTAGCTGGCAATACAGTTGTCCCGCAGTGACGTGCTTCTGCTAGACTGTGCCGATAGGAGCGGGGCTTTGTGCGACAAAGGGTCGAAAACAGCCTCATTACGACGAGCAAACATGAAACTGTGTCGCCGACTGCTCTCCGTCTGTTGTATGACCATCCACCGACCTCTGTCCTTGCTCTGCCATACATCGATGTCCGCTGAGCTCCAGCTCCCATCCCGCAACAACCCCGCAAAGAACGGCATATATAACGACACAATAGCCCCAACGGAAGCAATTTATATCGCGACAACTCTCCACTCAACTCAACATCCACCTCAAAACTTACCTCGACCTCCACTGCGACGTCACCTTGCCTCGCTTCACAATGGCTGCTCCTGACTTTTACAACCCCCCGATCTCTGCGTACCCCTCGCCGCTGACGGGCTACGAGGGCAAGGCACCACTCGGTGACGAGAAGAACGACGACGGCAAGAGCCTCAAGAACGAACCGGCCGCCCGCAGCCCAGCTTACGACGCCTTTGTCGATCCCCTGGATCGTGGACGGCGAGGCGGATTGTGCGTTCCTCGAGCGTCGAGCCTTTGACCTTTTCTTACTGTGATTCGCCGTGGATCCTAACGTGAACTGCAGTGACGTCCACATCTACTACTTCCAGGCCAACCCCCAGCAGCTGGAGTACGCCCGCGCCCTCCACGAGCGCATCCGGCGAGAGTGTGAGCCTTCCTGCGCCCAGTCCACTCTTTGTGTGTGTGAGAGAGAGTGTGTGTGTTCCCAGCTAATGCCCCAGCCTAGTCCCTGAGCTTCGCATCTACCGCTTCTGGGACCGCCCCATCGGCCCCCATCCCGTCGCCATGTTCGAAGTCAACCTTTTTACCCCGGCCCAGTTCGGCGCATTCGTCCCCTGGCTGGCCATCTGGCGCGGCCCCTTGTCGGCCCTCGTCCACCCCAACACCACCGAAGGCGGCGGGGCGGCCGACCCGGTCGGCGAGATCGCCACGGAGCGCCGCAACCACTCGCAGCGGGCCATGTGGCTGGGCGAGCGCGTGCCGCTGGACTTTACCATCTTTGACAAGATGGCCATCAACGCGGCGGCCGCAGTCGCGTCGGGCAACCCTGCCGGCTTCAGCGGGGACAGCGAAAAGGCGGCCGCTGTCGATGCCATTGGTCAGACCTGAGGGAGTGGTCAGATGTTTTTGTGTTTTGTCGTCCTTGTATTTATTGGGAGTTTTATTTTATTTTGTTGACACTCGTGCCATGCACTCACACATCTTGACATACTAATGATGAATAATATACCACGCAACGTTACGGCTCCGTGGTCTTGTTCCCTGCTCTGTGGGATGCGAAAGTGTGCTTCTCGTATGTCTTCTATGGCACTTCGTCTCTTCTCGCTCCTCGAGAATCCTCAGCCCTTGGCACGGTTGGCTTGCGTTACAACACCAAAAACCCACCAGATCACTCCCTACCAACGGCAAGAGAAACCGCTGTCATCGGCTCAGCCAAGGCTGGGCGATAGCTGGGCGAGGCTCGGTGCTGTGCGCAACAGCGGTTAGCCTCGGGCTGGAGTGATAGGTCGTTATGGCTTGTATCTCATACAACTGGAGCGACAAGGCTTTGGGGGTGCTAGTACTGTGAGTTGGGCCTAATTGGACCTGAACAGGCCTGTGCCACACCGCCGGAACAGACGGCTGCTGTGGCAATCGTCGCTGTTAGGTATCTGGAATCAGTCGAGCGGCAGGTGTGATGGAGCGTGACCGCCATTCATCGCGAGTCAGACAGTGTACTCCTTGTCCCGAGTACGTAATTTCTCGCACGCCTGCCTAAACGCTGCGAACGGGAGGTGAGGAATTGGGAAGGGGCGGCAGAGATCGAAAGCAAGACTTGCCAAAAGAGGGAGGCAAAGGAAAGCGCGACCCACTGAACTAGCCTCATCTCGCCTGCAAGCGGGGGTCGAAACAGATCTTCCTTCCTGTTCGACGTCAACGACCGTTCGGAGAGGAAAGGGCGACGCTAATTAGCGGGAAGCCCGTGCAAGGGCAAAAAATGGATGTGGGAAAGAGCGAGAGACGCCGTACGTTTCTGCACGAACCATCCAATGGCACCTGCCCCCAAAACCCCAGAGCGCACTGCAGTCTGCAGTCTGGCCACTTCAATCCATTTTTTGGCATCCAGCATTCGACTTTCTGCCTCATTGTCTCAAATGTGTGCATCCCTTTTGCTCACCGACTCTTGCAGCCACCGCACCCAGCACACGGCCCACAAGTTGACCGCCGACCCGCCCATCACACGCGTGCACGTATCAGACCGCTTTTGCATTTCTGCTCTGCGCTCTACCGATACAGGCCATCACTGGATGCGACGATTATCCGACCGTCTTTCGATACTGTCTTCGATACTGCCATACTTCGTACTGGACTGCACGTCAGCCGACGTCACCCTCGAACCTTCAGCTGTTGTGTGCGGAGCGCCCATGGTCACGGCCCGTCGCCCGTCTTAAACACCCCGATTCCAGCCAGCCGCGCCCTTCGTCTTCGTCTCGGACGCACTCGACCTGTTTCACTTGCTCTTTGCATGACAGCTGTTCGCCACACACAATACTCCAGCTTCTGGACTGCACACGCCTCGACCTACGTCTCTTTTCCTCTCGCCAGCCGCAGCTGCTCTTTTGTTCGCCGTGCGCATTGGACGCTTCTGCCTGCAGCTTTTTAGCTGTCACTTGGCTCTCGAACTGCACGTTGTGCGTCAGGCCAATCACCATTTTTTCCATCACAGAAAACACCTTTCGTGACTACCAAGTTGTGTGCTTTGTCGCTGCACCAACCAGCAGCCCTTGCCCTCCCGTCTGGCTCCCTTCGGGCTCTCGCTTGCTGCCCGGTCGATCCCCTCAACCTTCTGCCAAAATGGAGTCCTCGTCCACAGACGATCCTCCGCCTCCATTTATCAACTTCCTCCCCAAGACCCCGTCAGCCACCTCCTTTTACGAGATGCCGCGCGAGCGCCGCCTCAAGCTTCTTGTCGCCGCCAACGGCCCCAAGGAGGTCGCCTACGCCCAGACCATTGCCGTTCGCCTCTCCAAGGAGCCCAAGATAACCGTCAAGGTCGTTGTCGACGAGCTCACCCACCGCCTCGCCCAGGAGTTTCCTTGCTTTGCCAACCGCTCGCTGCACCCCCCGTCCCTATCCATCGAGACGGACTACTTCAATGGCGCTCCCAAGCGTGATGGTTCCACTGCAAAATCTACAGGTGCCGGCGGCCACAGCATACCCAACTGCCAGTCGAACCGCGAAATCGACTGCGCCCAGCGCCGCGCCTTTGAATTGGTCGACTGGGCCGATCTTCTCGTGCTCGCGCCCATTGACGCGGATAACCTCGGCCGCATGATGGCCGGCATCGCCGATACCCTCTTGCTCGAGGTGCTGCGCAGCTGGGACGCCTCCAAGCGCATCCTGCTCGTCCCCGGCATGTCCACCCACATGTGGGAAAACCCGGTAACCAAACGACAGATCAGCAAGCTGCACCGCAAATGGTACTGGGTGCGCGTCCTGCCGCCCATTCTGTGGCACTACAACGCACCCTCGCCTTCTGGTGACGCCGCCGGCAACAGCGCCGTGTCGACGCCCGAGAGTGCTATTCGCACACATTCGCAGCAGCAGGAGCAGCAGCAGCAGAGCAAGCGCGTCGTCCAGTGGTCTGGCTTTGCCGAGCTGATTGGCATTATTAAGAACCATGCCGACTTGCTGTCGCTCGGCCACGACGTCGACATTGCCGCGCTCAACGGCGGCCGCGCCTTTGCGCCCGACTCGGGCTTCTTGTCCGCGGGCTCCAAGAAACGCCTGCCGCCCGAGATTTGGTCCATGATCCTCGAGTACACGGGCGACTGGGAGCTGGCCGCGGCCCTGGACGTGTTTACCAAGCTGCCCATGCCCGCACACTATGGCTGGCGCCGGCAGCCGTCGCACCCGGACGACCCGCTGCAGGTCTTCATGCACGAGCTCGAGTGGACGCTGCTGACCGCCCAGACGGACAAGATCTGCCAGAAGCTGTCGGAGGCGCCCGCGACGATCCACGACCTGTCCGCGCTGGCGATCAAGCTCATCTTCAAGTTTTCGCTGACCGACGTCTTGACCTACGTCGAGGCCCACTGCCCGCTCGTCTTCCGCAACTTTGACGGCAAGACCGTGCCCACCAAGGCCTCGGCGTACTTTGGCAAGACGGAGATTCTCGACTGGTGGGTGCGCAGCCCCTCGTTTCTCGAGAAGCAGTACGACGCCGAGGCCCTCGACGGCGCCTCCAAGAACGGCTACGTGCACGTCCTCGAGTGGTGGCGCCGCTCGGGCCTGCCCCTCAAGTACACCGAGGCGGCGCTCGAGCAGGCCAGCGCCAAGGGCCACGTGCGCGTGCTCGAGTGGTGGCGCGAGGCGTCGCTCGCGAGCCCGCCGGGCGTCGTCCTCAAGCCGGGCCGCGCCCTCATCTGCGCCGCGCAGTACGGCCGCGTCGACGTCATCCGCTGGTGGGAGGAGAGCGGCGTCAACGGCGGGCACCAGGACGCCATCTGCAAGGTGGCCTCGCGCTGGGGCCAGGTCGAGGTGCTGGAGCTGTGGCGCGAGCTGCGGGGCGACGACAAGATGGTCTTCAACCACCAGGTGCTTGTGGAGGCCACCATGCACTCGCACCTGGCCGTGCTGGACTGGTGGAAGGGGTACGCGCACGGGACGCTGCCGCGGATGAACGGCCGGCGCGCCAAGCAGGTCGAGTACCGCACTATGGACATTGAGGAGGCCCTCGAGGACGCGCTGGGCGACCCGGCCGCCGTTCGACGCTGGTGGGCGACCAATGGCTTGAACCTGGGTCTCGGCACCAGCGAATGGATGAAGGCGAGATACCTGTAGCGCATTCTCCCCCTATTTACGACACACATTCACACACACACAACTATACCCCGAAATTGGCACGAAATTGAAAACGGGAACCGGAACGGGAACGGGCAATGGGACTTGGAACATAGGACACGGAGTTCATCTTGCAGCATTTACACGGACATAATGCTTTAAAGCTTCGAAAAATGGAAAATTGGGAAAATATAACAAAATTGGACTTTGCTTTCGGTCATTTCAAATAATGGAACGGACTGCAAACTATGATGGGTATCAATTGTAAATCAGTCATGAACGCTGCCCGGTTGCCAATAACGCGACTCTACGGCTTACTTGACCACCACCCTCTCTCCGCCTATCCCCCTATGCCGCCATGTACTTCTCTGGCACGCTAGGAATCAGCTTGCGCAGCACCTCGATCTTTCGTGCCTGCTGCTTGTGCCGTGCCTCGGCCGCGCCTACGCGTCCGTCCCGCCGCCGCTGCTGGCCGTACACCACTGTGAAGTCGGGCACCCGTTCTCCGGGCAAAATTCGACTCCGCGGGGCGAGTGTGCAGTACTACGAGGTCAGTTAGAAGACAAAGACGACAAAGACGACAATACAAGGATCATCACAGTTGTAGGGAAGAAAAAGGGAACGCACCCTCCCAATCACGGCTCCGCTGCCGATTTGGCTCCGGGGGCCCACGACGCTGCCCTGGCCCACCACGACACCCGCCTCGAGCGCCGACCCCGTCTCCACGGACACGTAGTCCCCGAGCGTCACGCTGCCCTCCGGTGACGGGAAGCTGCCCGGGACGGCCACGTTGCTGTTCGACGCCGAAAACGCCGCGCCGCCGCCCACCACAGCGCGCTCTTCCACAATGCAGCGCCGGCCAATGTTGACGGGTCCGCCCTTGGCGTCCAGCCGCGCACGTGGATGGATGACCGAGTCGCCGCTAATGGTCACGGGGAACGTGCCGACAACGTACACGGCGTCGGCCATGACAACGGGCCCGCCGCCGCCGCCGCCGGTGCGGTCCGTCACAAAGTGGACGGGCGTGGGCGGCGCCGCGGGCATCATAGACTGTCGTTTTGACATGGCGCATGCAGTAGAGGCGTGTATTATTAAATATAACTAAAGCCGAAAAGGAAGAAGCACCAAGGATGGCCGGAGTCTGTAAGCAGACACACGCGGTGGTGATCGTTGCGCTGTTGTCAAACGTCTGAGCTGTGGACCGCTTCAGGGTCAGTTCCGTCGGGGTGGGTCCTTAGATGCTCAGGGGGAATAGCCAATCAGCGCGCGGCTGCTCTCAACTCCTCAGAAAGTGTCAAGGTTGGCCCAACCGGACGACCCGGGCCCGTATAACGACGACGCCGACATCAATTGCATTCAAGACAACATTCGTTAAATCGACTGAAATTTAGTGAAAATTAATACATGGTTTATTTGTCTGCAACTGTTCCCTATGCTGTACATATGTGACATCCACGTATTAGCTTTCAAGCTGCGCTGATTGGCCTAGTAGGTCCCCACAGTTCCCTTCACGTGACCCGCAAGAGAGAAGTTTCCCGGCTCAAGTGGTGTTTCCCCCATTCCCATCACAGCATTTTTGCTCGCCTCTTCCCGAATCTCCACGATACGGACAACGGGGCGACTTCGAGCGCAGAAAAGTCCCTCTTTCACATCCGCCGTACGTCAGTCGCTCTTCCGGACACATTCTGTCCCCCTCCACCGACTTTCCGAGTGCAGGCCCATCCATTGGCTTGCTTGTCTACACTCTGCTCAATTGAGCAGCCGAGCGATTTTCCCGCCACTTTTCGTGACCACCGACACCACTGAAACCGCCGCCGCTTCCCCCCTCGACGACACGTCGGCCCGAACACCCATCATGCTCTCCCGCAGCGCATCCGCCGCTCCCAAGGCGGCGTCCGCCGCGTCGGCTGTCGCCCGCGTCGCCCCTGCCCTCTCCTCGACTGCCTCTACTACCTCTTCCTCGTCGACATCGTCGTCTTCATTACCGGCCCGGCGGCCGTTCTCTTCGTCGTCGCGCCGCTCGTTCGCCACGGTGCAGGATGCCGCGCCTGAGGCGCCCAAGAAGCGGGTGTACGGCGGTCTCAAGGACCAGGACCGTATCTTCCAGAACCTGTACGGCCGGTACCCGCCGGACCTGAAGCACGCAAAGAAGATGGGCGACTGGCACAAGACCAAGGAGATTATCCTCAAGGGCCACGACTGGATCATCAACGAGGTCAAGACGTCGGGTCTGCGCGGCCGCGGTGGCGCCGGTTTCCCGTCGGGTCTGAAATGGGTACGTCCGTTTGGGTTTTGACAACATGCATGTATTGCACAATGGAGAACCTGGAGCCACTCACAACTAACACGAAAAGTCGTTTATGAACTTCAAGGACTGGGACAAGGACAACAAGCCGCGGTACCTCGTGGTCAACGCCGACGAGGGCGAGCCGGGCACATGCAAGGACCGCGAGATTATGCGCAAGGACCCGCACAAGCTGGTCGAGGGCTGCCTGATCTCGGGCCGCGCCATGAACGCCACGGCCGCGTACATTTACATTCGCGGCGAGTTCATCTACGAGGCCGAGGTCCTGCAAAAGGCCATCAACGAGGCGTACGCCGACGGCCTCATTGGCAAGAACGCCTGCGGCTCCGGCTACGACTTTGACGTCTACATCCACCGCGGCGCCGGCGCCTACGTCTGCGGCGAAGAAACGTCGCTGATCGAGTCGCTCGAGGGCAAGCCCGGCAAGCCGCGCCTCAAGCCGCCCTTCCCCGCGGCCGTCGGCCTGTTCGGCTGCCCGTCGACCGTCACCAACGTCGAGACGGTCGCCGTTGCGCCGACCATTTGCCGCCGCGGCGGCAGCTGGTTCGCCAGCTTCGGCCGCGAGCGCAACCAGGGCACCAAGCTGTTCTGCATCAGCGGCCACGTCAACAACCCGTGCACGGTCGAGGAGGAGATGTCCATCTCGATGCGCGAGCTGATTGACCGGCACTGCGGCGGCGTGCGCGGCGGCTGGGACAACCTGCTGGCCGTGATCCCCGGCGGCTCGTCGACGCCCATCCTGCCCAAGGCCATGTGCGACGACCAGATCATGGACTTTGACGCGCTCAAGGACAGCCAGTCGGGCCTGGGCACCGCGGCCGTCATTGTCATGGACAAGAGCACCGACGTGGTCCGCGCCATCAGCCGCCTCAGCCACTTTTACCGCCACGAGTCGTGCGGCCAGTGCACGCCGTGCCGCGAGGGCAGCAAGTGGACGGAGCAGATCATGTCTCGGTTTGAAAAGGGCATGGGCCGCGAGCGCGAGATTGACATGCTGCAGGAGCTGACGAAGCAGGTCGAAGGCCACACCATTTGCGGTACGTCCCCCCGGTCTTTTCTCCCCCATTTACACATTTACACACGCCCCCCTTAAATTCACACGGACCGTTCATGGTACATCATACTGACCGTTTTATAGCCCTCGGCGAGGCTTTCGCGTGGCCCATCCAGGGCCTCATCCGCCACTTCCGGCCAGAGCTCGAGGCGCGGATGCAGCAGTTTGCGGCCGAGACCGGCGGCGAGGCGCTGGCCGGCGGCTGGACGCACGACGCACGCAAGCAGGGCCACCTCATTGCTCCGGGTCAGTAAATGTGCGTTGTGCGTGGAGGGTATAACGGAACAAGGAGCAGTCGACGCCGGCCAAAATCAACCTAAAAAAACAAAATAATCATAAAAGAAAAGAGACAGGGAGCGGAACGGACTCAAATATTTTGCAAAGTTTTTTGTTGCATTTTCTGTGTTTCTTTTTATCGCTCAGTTCTGATTTTTGACGCTTGTTTTCGCCTGCTTCGTCTCCAGCCTTTTTTTTACAAAGGGATAACACAAACCACCTGTATTTAAATCCGTGTTAGGAGCTGCTAGGTGGCGTCTTTATTTATTTACATTAAATTCTTCACGTCATCAAGAAACGGGTGTTAGATGTTGAGCTGTCAGTGGCCCATATATTTATTCAGGGGCCGATCGGGAAGGCGACAGCGAGCCACCACAGCGCCCCCAAAATTAGCGCAGACGTCTCCAGGGTCAACATTGCAACCACACACGCGGGAGCGGTCAGTCATCTCATTGCACGATATCGGCGGCGTCCTCACTTCACGGTACTTTGTACGCTGCAAGTGTTTGCGTTCCTCTTCGGTCATGATTACTGCGTTCCTGGACGTCCTCGTTTCGTACGAACACAAACATCGGCTGCTTCACCTTATCAACTAAAGACATCACAAGCCTCAACCTCTCGACCATGTTTATAGAACAGCTCATCGCCTTCACAACGGACTCCGGTAGGCCCTTCCATATACCATAACTTTACTTGCCATTGTCAAGACTAACCACCCCACTCCAGTCGGCCTAGAGCGCATCCTGCGCCTTGTCCACTCGCTGCTCCAAATCGTTGTCAGCGTGCCCATCCTGGTCGGCTATGCAGCCGCGCTTTTGCATACGGAAAAGTTCCGTGCGACAGCCGGCATGGCTGCCGTGCACGGGACGGCCGCTGCGATGCTGGCAGGTGCCCGTGACCGCGTCAACCTCGGCCGCCGCTTCTCGCGCATGTTTCGCTTCATCGAGAGCTTCCACGGCGCGCACCAGCTGTACATGCAGCTGATGGGCGGCGGCCTCGGGAACGACGCAACACGCGCGGTTGCCGGTCGGCCACACCCCAAAAAGCGGTTCCGAGCCGACCTCTGGCTGGACGTGTTTGCGCGCACGTTTGCTGGCATCTACCTGCTCCTCGAGACGGCCACCATTGTCGACGCGCTCGACGTGCCCGGCCTGGCCGTCTGGGGCCCCGAGCGCGCCGCCGTTTTACATGTCGAGGGCCAGCGCTACTGGTTCCTGTCGCTGAGCTGCAGCGTCGCCGCCACGCTCGTGCGCATGGCCCATGTGGCGCGCGACGTGCCGATGCCGCCGCCGACCGACGACGAGAAGCACGCCCACATGGGCAGCCCGTTGCGTGGCGACGACAACGGCAGCGACAACAACGACAACAACGACGAGACGCAAGGACAAGACAAGATCGAGATGCTCAATGAAGAACGCCTGCGCCTGCGCCGCATCATACAGAGCCGCATGGCGCAGCGGCGCAAGTGGCAGCGGGCGCTGCAGGCCCGCCTGGTGGTGCTGCTGCGGAAGGTCGTGGCCGACGGAGCGGACGTGCTGCTCCCCGGGGCAGTTGTCGGGTGGACGCCGCTGCGGCCGGTGACGGTGGGCGGTGTCATGCTCTTCACAACGCTGCTGACAAGCTACGATGTGTGGTTGCGGTGTGGCAGGGAAGTGGCCGCAGCCAAGGAGGCAGAGGCCGAGGCGGCGGCAGCCAAAGCGGCAGCAGCAGCCAAAGCGGCCGAAGAGAAGGCGGCAGCCGCTGAGAAGAAGGAGTCATAAAGACATTGGTGAAGAGGGATCTCACAAACGATTTATTTAGACATAGACATGGATACCCGTTTGGAGTTACGAGTGGGAGGAGATTTAGAGTCCCGCTTGAATACACCATTTTTGGAAAGAAATAATATGACTTCATTACGCTCCGCATGTTCGCTAGATATGATCGACAACATTCATGCACACGTTTTGTCGAAGATACCCAATCCCTTTAACCCTGACTTTCCGGCCGCAGCGACGACTGGGAGTGCCCCGTGTTCGGCCGGCTCGTGCTGCCCGTGCCTCCAACGCCCGCACGCTTCAACTTCTTGGCCATTGTGCCCTTGGCGTCAAACAAACTCTTGACCCGTCGCAGCCGCGCCCACCGCTCCTTGTCCTTGGCATCGCGTGCCGCCTCGTCCTCTTCACGTGCCTCGTGGTCGCCAAATATACCGCTGCCCGTACCCAGCGTGGCCGGTGTCGTCCCGAGCAGCGGGCCAGGTGTGCCATTGCTGGCATTGGCATCGCCGCCAGCAGTGGCCGGCCGGCGGCCAGGCGTCACAGGCGCCACACCCGGTGCACCTGCCGCGTCCTTGGACGGCGTGGGCGGAAGCCGGCTTGACGTCGGCCTGGCCGCCATGCGGTTGCGCAGATAGGCATCGTTCTTGAGCATCTGCACCAAAACATCCCAGCCCGGCGGCTGAGCCGTCGGTCCCGCGCCGCTCTTGCCGTTCCGGATGGGCCGCGCACCGCCCGGGTTGCGCTGCACGGCGCCGTTCTTCCACGGGCAAAAGAAGCGGTGTTCACGGACGGCGTCCAGATGGTCCATGGGCGCCGGCTCGAGCACCGTGTTCGTCTCAAGGTCGACCTGCTTGCTCTTGAACATCCACAGGCCGAGTCGACGCAGGCACGCATGGCACGATGCCGAGTTGGGCACCGCGCCGATGCGGCTGTTGGTCAGGCCCTGCCAGCCCATGACGGCCAGGGCGAGTGCGGTGCGGTTGGGGGAGGGCGTCGCCGCGGCCGTGGCCGCCGTCGTGGAAGGGGTGTCGAAAAAGGTCGGCGGGAGATTGGCCAGGACGGCGTCAATGTCGAGGCCCTCGGGCAGCCGCAGGTTGAACTCGTACGGCAGAAAGTCCTTGCGGGCGGACAGCTCGTCGTAGCGCTGACGGAGGTCGGCGAGTGCCTGGTGTGGGCTGGCCAGCGGCAGCCGCAGCAAGCTGTCGTCGCAACCCTTTTTGCGCCACAGACAGTCCTCCTCGTGCGCCGTTACCACCAAGTCAACGTACTTGTCGACCACGGCCGCCTCGGCCGCTTCAGCCGCTTCCGTCGACGCGGGCGTGCTTCTGTCGCTGTTGTCGGCCTCACTGCTCTTGGCGCGGCCCAGCTGCACCACCAGCTCCTTGCTGCACAGCGTGCACCGCAGCCGCTCCTTGCCCTGGCACACCCAGCCGCGCTTCGCCCACTCGATCTCATTGATGCGGTCCGGTTTGGGCGTCCAGTCCGTCAGCTCCTGGAACGTGGCCAAGCGCCGCAGGAGCTGCTCTCGGTCGCCCGGGCAGTAGCGTGGCTGGGGCGGTGCCGTCTGTGTATGTGTGCTTGTATGCGTCTGTTCTGGCCTAGTGGTGCTCCCGCGGGCTGTGCTCGTACCCCATTTGCGCAGGATGCTGCTTGATGGTGTTACGGCGGCATTGCCCGTCGTATCGCGCAACGTGGCACCGCCATTCGCGATGCGTCGCCGTTTGGCAAGAAACTCGAGGCTCGCCGCCGAGGGAGTCGTAGTCGCCGTCGCCGTCGCCGTCGCCGTTCGTGAAGGAGAGGAGAGTAACATGTCGCTCGGTTGGGTGGTCCCTGGTGTCACTGTTGTCGGTGTAGCTCCTAAAAGAGCTTCTCGTGAAGGCATCAAAGTCGAAAGTCGAGATGTGCTCTCACCAACACCCCGGCCGAGGTCTAATGACGATGGGCGCGTGGGATCGCTCTTTTCAGTTGATGAAACGGAACCGGTGGATCGCGTGCCGATCCCCTGAAGCAGGGCGTTGAATTTCCGCTTCGTCGCATTCATGTTTTCTGTGTTGCCTCTGTTTTCTGCCCTGTGTCTGTTGTTTGTCGAGCCCGGGGAGCACCCAGGAAAGGGTTCAATGCCGCGTCGCGTCTCGCAATGCGTTCTTGTCGATTATCAGCCTGTCAAGGATGTGCTATCTCTGCCGTATCTATGTCGTAGCCTTGAATACTCGTGGAGACGAGGCTGGCAAAAGAAAAATTGGGACGACTTCGACGAGACAAAGGGAGTCGGAAACACGCGAGGAGGCCGTGATGAGGGGGAGAAGGAAAGTATCCCTTCCGGTCGTCAACAATGCCGTTGCAGCGAGAGCGGAAATAAACAACGCTCGAAACAAAGAAACGTTGTTGTGTTTTTGGTGGAAAGATAGCTCTGAGAACACCAAAAAGAGACGGTTTATGTCAGGGGTCTGTTGGATCCAAAAAGGTGTTGCTGTGCCTGCCGCGTGCTAACAACTGTCTCGTTGCTGGGTCGCACCTTCCCTATTCCGCACAGCTGCAGCTTAACGCGTGATGAGGTACCCTTTGTATGGCACAACGTGGCAAAGGTACATGCCGTTGACGCTGGAACATATTCACACCAAACGTAAATACACACTTGCAAAATCACAAAACAAGTACAATGTTTATGAACAGGCACATTCAAGCAAAGTATGAGGACACAAACCATTAAAAACCTGACAACTGTCGTGCACATGCACATGTATATCGACTCACAGCAGCAACAGTGAGAACTTTGCACTGTGGGTGGAGCCTGGCTCCGTCAGCGCATCGAGACCAGCGGGGTAGTCGTTAGCTCTTGCCATTTACATCATTGCCTGTTGCGCAGCTCTGTGAAAATGCGAAAACCTGCAGGAGCTACCCACTGAACAACGACGACGGTATTTCCCTCATGCACGACGCCACGACACACAACAAGCATTCTCCCTCTCCCACCGACGACAACATCCATACAGACTCGCCTCGTCGGACCAGCGACCCCGCGACCACGTCGAGACGACAGCATCGTTATCCCCGCGACAGACAGTTCTTCTCCTTCCGCATACTCCTCGGCCTCGCACTCGTCGCCCTGGCCTTTGCGCTCCTCCTCGTCCGTCAAACGTGGGCTCTCCAGGCCCGTCACTATCTGCCTTTTCCCAGGTCCCGCCTCTTCACCGCTTGCACCGCAACCATGGCGAGCCAGGAGTACGTCAGAGAGCTGCAAGTGGCCCAGTTAGCCGTCCAGCGGGCTGCCATCCTCACCAAGCGCGTGTTCCACGAAAAGGCCAAGGGCACCGTGTCCAAGGACGACAAGTCGCCCGTCACCATTGGCGACTTTGGCGCCCAGGCCCTCATCATCTCCGCCCTGCGCTACCAGTTCCCCACCGACGAGATCGTGGCCGAGGAGGAGGCCGACCAGCTGCGCGCCGACGCCAACCTGCGGGACACCATCTGGAGCTTTGTGCAGAACACCCGGCTTGACGACCCTGCCGCGGAGGACGTGCTGGGCGGCCCCATTCCCTCCGTGGACACCATGCTCGACGTGCTCGACCAGGGCAAGAGCAAGGGCGGCTCCGTGGGCCGCATCTGGACCATCGACCCCATTGACGGCACCAAGGGCTTCTTGCGCGGTGGCCAGTACGCCGTCTGCGTCGGCCTGATTGTCGACGGCGACGTCAAGGTCGGCGTGCTGGGCTGCCCCAACCTGCCAACCGACGACGCCACCAAGCTGACCGTCGACGTCGGCGCCAACCAATCCGACGAGGGCAGCAACGTCGGCGTGCTCTTCTCAGCCGTCAAGGGCGACGGCGCCTACAGCCGCCCCCTGACGACGGGCAACGTGCTGGCGGGCCGTGCCATCCACATGAACGCGCTGTCCACCAAGGAAGACCTGCTGCAAGCGTCGTTTTGCGAGAGCGTCGAGGCCGGCCACTCCAACCAGGACGAGTCGGCGCAGATCACGCGCATCCTGGGCATCACAAAGCCGAGCGTGCGCATGGACTCGCAGGCCAAGTACGGCTCGATTGCGCGCGGCGCCGGCGACATTTACCTGCGCCTGCCCGTGTCCGCGACCTACCAGGAAAAGATCTGGGACCACGCGGCGGGCGACCTGATTGTGCGCGAGGCTGGTGGCCAGGTCACGGACACGCTGGGGCGGCGGCTCAACTTTGGCCACGGCCGCACGCTGGCCGAGAATAAGGGTGTCGTGGCAGCGCCGGCGGCGATCCACGACAGGGTGCTCAGTGTCGTACAGACGGTCCTCAAGATTTCGCCGTAGTTTGGAGAACTCGAGCTGCAGCTGCTGAAACAGCTGGCATTGATGCAATTCCGCGGAGGCTGTCCGAGCGCCTCTGTCTCGTTCTCCAAACGAAAGCTGTTCTCGTGTGGTCTGCTATCCCCAAAACATAAATGAACTGTGTACGCTAGACTCGTGCATGATAAAATAATATTACGGTTGGAAAAAAACAAGGGCGGTCCATGTGTAGTTTACAGCCGAGAAAATAGATGAATATAGTACATACAATGCGCAACAACTGCACCCTGGTTGTTCCCAAATATCCCCCTCGCGCGCATCGTCTATTTGATCTTCTTCTGCTTCAACCTGATCGTCTCTTCGTTGATAAAGATGCCCTTGCCCTTGTAGGGCTCTGGCTTCCGCCACCGCCGGATACTCGCTGCAAATGTCATGAGCTCCTCGCGGTTGATGCCCTCGAGCAGCACGCGCGTCGGCTGCGGCGTGCTGGCCGCAATGCCCTTGGGTACGCCCATCTCGACCGGGTGGTTGAAGCCCAGCTTGAGCACCACAAACTTCTGGCCCGGGTACGCCTCCTTCTCGGGCCGCTCCTCCACCGTCGCACGGTAACCAATACCAACCAGCCGCAGCACGGCCGTGTGGCCTTCCGACACACCGATAATGTACCGGTTCATATGTGCCCACATGGTTCCTACGGGTCGGTCAGGTCAGTGTCTGTATGTGTCAAATGGACCACGCGCAGGGAGCCCTTCCTTTCCCTCTTGACTCACCCCACATCTGCTTCTGCTCCGTGACCTGGCGGTCCTCAATGTTGAGTGTGATGCGCCGTGCCTCCACGTCGTGGTCGATTTGGATGAATGGCGGCATCGTGAGCTCCAGCTGGCCCAAGGGCCCTCGCACCGATATCGTCCTCCGCGGGATCTTGAGGTATGTGGTCGGGTCCTTCTTCACAATCGGCTCGCCAATCGTCAGCTCCACGCCCGGCGGGATCGAAATGGGCATCCGGCCGAGCTTGGAGTTGTGCACTGCCGTCGCCGAAAAGGCACGGGTGCACTGCTGGGATGCGGCCGCGGCAGCCGGCAGGGCCACGCGCCGTGCAGCCGTTGTTCTTGTCGCTGCGGAGCCTGCGGCCGCCACCGCGCTCTCGGCCGCTTTCGCGAGCGCCTGCCCCCGTCTCGGCGCAAACATTGCGGTTTGTGTCAGAGAAGGAGAACGTGTGTTCTGTCGTAGTTGGGGAGGGCCAATGGCGCGCCGTCGTCGCTTATTCGTCGTCCTGGCCGGTCTCACGATGTCGTTCGACAGACGTCAAGGAGACGCTCTCAAAAAAAATTGGCGGCCAATTGGAACAGTGCTGTAACCGATTTTTCTGGGCCTCAAATTTGCGGTAGGCCCCACGTGATCACAAGCCAGCCCCAAGGCACCGGTGCACACCTGCCGTGTAATTCGTCGCGCTTGTCCCCTCAAACCTTCCTCATTCGGAACTCAGAGCTGCTCCTTCCCTGGAGTCAACTCAAGTTCGTGTTAAGAAGACATGACATTCAGGGGCTCAATATATATAAACGTCTGCTCTTCTCACCCTCTGGCGATGATGTTGTAAAGCCTGTGCTCTGGTTGAACCCGCGTTATATTAGTCATCGACTGCAGGCAACTGTTCATGCCCTGCCATCCTGAGTGGCATTCGATGCTGGAGGAGCTTTTAGACGCTGCGATATACACTGCCAAATCGACGCCTTTTCGTCTCTTCTTTTTCTGCATTTTGTTCGTAATTGCTGGGTTTCACTTTGCTTCTTACTCTCCTCTATTTTTTCTCCTCCCAATCTATCTCCGGCTTTCAGATGAGCATATATATACGCTGCCTACCAAACCAAGCGACTGCCTTACGCATACTCACAACCTTGGCACCTCTTGAACCAGACCAACCAATGCGCCTATCATGTACTTCGTCAAGCTGCTGGCGACTTTGCTGGTCTCATGCAACCTTTTTCTATCCGTCACAGCTATCCCATGGATCTCTACTGAGCCAGGAACGCCGGGTAAGAACAACGGCGCTCAATTTCTTCCAACACGGCTCATACTAATCTAGAGTAGATCGCGATGCACATCCATCTTTAGCAAGGATAAGCCCGTCCGACCTCTTGCAAGCGGGCGCAACGCGCTCTGCGCTCTACCAGGCAGCCTTGACCGAGCTTCAAGAACTCGAAGCAGAGCCGCTATGCCACCGTGTTGCCGCGCGACTACTCGTCAACAACTGTCAGATTCTCGAGGGAAAAGACGATGCCACAGTCTTGACAGACAGCGGGCGCCGGGCGCGCGACTTTGTGGACTCGTACGCGGCCAGCCTCGCCATCTGTGACCTGGAGCGGGCCAGCTTCAGCATCCCGCCGGCGTGTGAGCCGTTCCGCGAGCCCACGCTGAGCCGAACTCCGCTGAGCGATACAGCGCAACTGCATGTACCCGAAGCGCAAATTCGGGCATGTCTGGCTGGACTGGGTGAGTCGCCGTCGGCATGGAACACGTGGGTCAGCTACAGTCACAAGGCCGTTCGGTTTTGTGAGGCCGCCCGAGCAGACTACGAGAAGAGTACGTGCCCGTCCGAAACGAAATGGAAAGAAAAACAAAACGAATGGAAGATAGGGTAGCTAACGTTTCCAGCGCAAAATATCCTCGTCTTCCAGAAGCTTACGCGTGTCATGGCCAAGCTGACCGACGACGTCGAGGCCGAGCTGCAGAGGCGCACGGAGGTTTGGGACGCGGAAGCTCAGGGTGCGGCAGATCGGCTTGGCCACGTCTTACCCGTGGCAGACGCCCTCTTGGACAAAATGGTAGTCATTGAGTCCCTCTTGCACAATGATCTCATGTCTTTGGTACGCGAGACTGCCACGCTGGTGGAGGACGGTTCGCAGTCAGCCCGGACACTACAGCAGGTGCTGCGTATTCTTGTAAAGACAGTGCTTGAGAGCAACTCGGAGTTGGCCTTTGAGCATGAGCGGTCGATCGCAAGGGTCAATCAGGTGACACAAGGTGAGATGGATGCGATCAATGCTGCAATGCAGGGAGTCTATGCGTCCGCATTGTCGTTACAACGAGAAATTGTGAGTACAAATGCAAAGTTCGTTTACATCTGTATTTCCACTGTTCTAACAGGATAGGAACTTTCCCAACTCCAAGCCTCGGATCTCACATCTCGCCAAGAAGCCCTTGGAAAGGTAAACTTAGTCTGTCCCTCCATTTTTTCTTATACATCGCGGCCGTTCGCTGAGATTGTTTTACTTGCAGGGCATGTTGCAGCTCGAGGGCATGACGCAAGCGTTCTTTTCCGACTTTGACGCCCACAGCCGCCTGCTGGTGCAGGCGAAGAATATGACAAACGACATGTTGGACACATTGGAGGCTACTGCGGCGGCCACTTGGACCATCCAAAACTCGTTTCGCGGGTACGGCGAGCTGGGCGGCTGGTGGCCGTTCATTGTATGTCCTGCCGTCTCTCTCATCATGGGGTCGTATGGCCTGCCGCCATCTATTTTGCGGAACATTGGCCTGTTTACATTGGGCGAGCTGGCTGGCGCAGTGATCTCATATCACAACCACATCCATAACCACCTCGGAACGGTGGCAGGGGTTTTATTTACGTTTGCGGGAATGGTGAGCAATACAACGGGTACGGTGATCTGATGGGATTTCGCTGGCGTTTGTGGGACGCGGTATTTGTTTTGCTTTAATTTTCGTTTATTCTCGGGTTACTGTTCTTTTTATTTCGGTCTCATGGTACCGGCATTCTTTTATTTTGTTCGTTCATTATCGGCAAGGTCCCTGTTAGACGGTGGACATACAATGGGTGGCAATTCGTTTACATATGCTAGGGGCCTCAGTGTCACGAGTCCAAGTCTAGTTTCAAGAAAAAGAAAATACATAAACCATTTAGAGGAGGTTGTGAAAGCGATCCTCAATTAGAGAGTGAAGCCGCCTCTGAACGCGCTAGAACGCGCCTGCCATGTTGACCGAAAACCATTGTCAACGGCACCTGCCGTGCTGTTAGGGGAGGAAAGTGGGGACGTTTCTTCGCCAATACGACAACCTGGTGAATTGGACGCGACGACTTCGGACGACAGCGCAACCTCGAAAACGTCGACATTTCATGGTCAACATCGACGATCCACCGCGCCCGTGACACCAACCTGTCTTTTTAGGTGCTTTGCGACGCGTTGATCCCTTTCTCTCCGAGGCTTTGCCGAATGGCGACGCGAACGTTGGCGGCATTCACGACGACACACAAAACCGCTGGCCGCATTCGCACTCGATACCGACGTTGACCATGGAGCGGAAGCGTGCGACGGCACCGTTTGCGACGGAGCCCGCGCGTCGGCCATCGAAAGATGCCGTCGACTCGGACGACGAGGCAAACGAGGGGCACAGCAGCGGCTCCCTCTTCCCGCCCCTTGATCTCTACGAAGAGGGCGAGGCAGAGCGTGGCCAGGAAAACATCCAGGCCCAGAGTCAGCTTGTGCAGGAGGAGGCAGAAAGCCAGCGACAACTGCGCGAAAAGCAGCAACAACAACAGCAGCAGCAACAGCAGCAGCAGCAGTCACGGCAAGAGGATGGGGAACTGCAATCGCCAGACAACCTGTGGAACTTGATGAGTGAAAGGGAGCGCAGGGGCGAAAGCGACGACGACGACCAGGAGAACGATGATAGCAACAAAAATAACAGCAACAACAACAACAAGATGGAGAGCACACAAGTCGCCCGCGCGAACAACAGCCCTCAAACGCCTCGAAAACGGCAACGCAAGGCGGTGGCACCGAATGCCCGACCGACAGCGGCTACGAACCGCAGCCGTCGGGGAAGGGTTGCGATGAGCGTGGCGAATGTGCTGGAACAGGTGACGGCGGCTATTGATAGGGCACAAACGGAGAGGCGTTCGTTACCAAAAAAGCGACAGTTGGGCGAAGAGGAGGGGCTGGTGGAGGGGCCGGTGGAGGGGGCGGCCGCGCAGCAGCAAGACGCTTCCAAAAAGCAACGACGAGAGACGGAGCAACAGCCTCCGGTCGGGCAATACGAGAAGGAGGGAGATACAGAACAGCATCTCCAGCAACAACAACAAAAACGTGCAGAGCGACGAGAGGACGATGTACCTGAAGTGCGGGTGGACCAGGCGAGCGGAACGGCACAAGCGACCTCAGGACGTTCGTCCAGACGATTGCAAGGCCTTCAACCAAGCGCGGAGCCAGAAGCGACGACAGCGACAGCGGGTGGCAATGCCGAATTCGATGCAAGCGGTGGCCAGCCCGTGACGCAAAGGACAGCCGAAACAATACAAGAAACACCACAAGAGACTGGCGACAGCGGCGAAGCACAAACTCATTCCCTGGGTGAGCTCCCAGATTATGGCAACACCAACGCCGATAACAACGAAAACGACGACGACAACGCTCACGACAACAACAACAACGATATTGACACGCAAGCTGTGCCACGAACATCTGCGTCGCAAGACCCCACAGCGATGCCTGTGACAGAGCTCATCACGTCCCAGCTGCTGAGTGCACTCATAGACCTGATGGGCACGAGTGGGTGGACCGGCAAGGTGATGTGGAAAATGGGATTGAGCTGGCAGCACACCGATCCCGGCCGGTTCGGCCCCGAGCCATTTACGGCAGAGGCTAAGAAGCTCCTGCGACAGCTCGCGGGCCTCAACGACGCGTATGTGCACGTACCGCGGCCCATGGCCCGGCCCTCCATGACCACGGAGACGCTCGACATGCGGGCCCAGAGGACGTACTTGCACGACCACCACGGCGAACATGGCGAGCGTCTTAGCATGATCGACGCCAGCATCCATAGGATCTGCCACAATGCGCTCCAGCCACTGACGACCTATGAGAGCGACGCGACCCCGGAAACGGTCCGCTTCCGCTGGCTGCTTGCGGAAGACCTTGTGGCGTTTGTCATCCCCAAGGCGGTGGAGGTTCTCGAAACCGTCTACGCCCTCGGTGGCAGCTTGCCCGGCGGGGAGCTGGGCGAGGCCAGCCTGTATGTGCCAGGCAATTGGGTGCAGATGATCCATGCAACGCTGTACTTGGCGCAGCGTGTCGTTGGCTGGATCACACGCCTCGAGAATGCGGTCGCCTGGGAGCTCGGGTACCGCGCCGACCGCCGTATGACGGGGGTCCCCTTTTCGTACCAGTACCTCGATGACGCTGACGAAGAGGCTGGTCAACGCCTGCAAAACTCGGCGCTGCCGCGACCCGAGTCGATTGCTGCCGTGCGACGAAATCGATGCCTGCTCAGGCCGCTTCTCAATGGGATCGAGGACGAGCTCAACCAAGCATGGCTGGCCCTCGAGCGCGCACAGACTGCACACGACGCTGGAGGGCGTCAAGCGACACAGGAAGGCCACGAGGGACAAGAGGTAGAGGTACGGGAGGACGCACACGGAGAAGCTGGTGGGGTGGGAAACCAAGACGAAAACGACAGCGACGGGGAACGGAGGCCCGTGGCGGTTGCTGCAAGCCCACCTGCTGCGCGGACACAACCGCCGGACATCAGTGCAATGGACGACGAATCATTTGCATTGGAGCTCGCACATGGTCGTGCCGCCGAGTCGTTGGAGATTGTCTTGACACAGCCGCCGGCCGCGTCCCTCGACCAGGGCATGCGGGATGGCCAAGTCGTGCGCGATGGTGATGACGACGGTGATGACGACGGTGTTGACGACGACGACAATAGCGACGGCAATGGCGACGGCAATGGCGAGAACGACGACAGCCCAGTCATGACAACGGCTATCACGACTGCTGTCGTCGCCCAGCCATCAAGCCCGCCGCCGGTCGCGAGTGTCGAGCAGGTCACCCAGGACATGGTTGTGGTCGAGCGGAACGGGGAAGCGGAGGATGAAGACGGCCTAGTGGTAAGCACTCTACAGGTGGCCGGCCCTGCCGAAGCCGAGGCTCCGGTCGAGGCTCTGGTCGAGGCTCCGGTCGACGTCCCGGTCGCGGTCCCGGTTGAAGTCCCGGTCGACGTCCCGGTCGAGGCTCCGGTCGAGGCTCCGGTCAAGGTCCCGGTCGAGGTCCCGGCTAATGTCCCGGCTACGCCCCCGGCTGATATACCGACCCCTGCCCCAACGCCAACACCAACGCCGGCACGCGAAGGTGCCGCAACAGCCAGTCTCGGCTCTCGCCCCTACGCCGACGCCGAGCTCAGGCAGATCCTGGCGCGTCTCCGCGCACTCAAGCGCACGGACCAGCTAGACCTTGCGCGGCTGGCGGCCGACCTGAACCGCGACATGTTTGACGTGGCAAACCGCGCCGAGAGCATCAAGAGCGTGGTCCGGGCCAAGCTGCTAAGAGACAAGAGGCCGGTGCCACACTGGGCGCAGGCAGGCTTTACGATTCGATAAGGGGGGACCCTGTGTGCATATTTCCTGCTTTTAGTACTTTTCCTGGGTTTTTAGTTGTATCTCTTTCTTGGCTTTTTCGACTCTCTAGTGATACCAACGGTGTTCTTCTATTTTTTGTTCGTATGAACTTGAATATATTATTCAAAGACATAATTTATTATAGTGGAAACCTTATGTTTTGACCTAAAGAAGCCACTGGTTGAAGACCCTGACATACCTGCATGCACCCCAGACGAAGCATGCAAGGTGCCGTCACCACAACTTCCTTTGTCGGCCTGACTTGTTTCGTTGTCCAATAAAGCAGAGGCCCGCCGATCATGGTGCATTGGACAGGCCGGTGGCGTTGTAGTCTTGTCACTTCCCCCTCACCAATATTGCATCGAGTGACTTGGCTTTTATTACGTCAAAAAGCGCCTTGGTGGACAAGTGAGTGTGTGGCTCGATTAAACGAGACTGCTTTCGGATGACAGCATTGCTGATGACACGACACAGGCCGTTTCGAAACGAGGAATGGCAAGCTCTTGTGTTAATGCCTGCTGCTCAATGCAAGGCCAAAACCTGATACGTCGGTCGTTCGGAGACGGCGGGAGACCTGACAACCCAAAAATGACAGGGAAGAGGAGAAAAGACAAAGACGAGAAATATGACTGCCGTCGTCCCGCTGTTTCACAAACAAAAGTCCCTGTCGACTCGACACTGCCGACGTTCCCTGCACGAAGCAATGCGACGTATGACTCGGTAGCGTCAGTGGGGAGGCCTGTCGGCGTGTCGACTTTGTCCATTCTCCCATTCTCTCACGTCGACGTGCGTTCTACATCGTAATTAAAGATGCCTCCTATTTGCAAATAGCGTCACTCGTTGAAAGCCGGCCCAGGGGGACCTGCCTGTTCGATCAACGCCTAGCTTCACGGCTCTTGCCCAAATTGCGTGTAACGCATGCCAGCCATACCATTTTCGTCCGGTCTCAATGCCCATCCCTCCTTCCTGCCCGGGATCAGACCGTTCGCTCTTTCCCTCTTGAAAAGACGGCGTATCACATTTGCTGTCGTTTGGCGTCGTACTACAGACAGAGTACGAAGTACAGTAGCTCAGCTCTGCCAATCTTAAATGTGACGGGACACACAGTCGGTACCTTTTGCGAAAGTAATTAAACCACTTCGTAGTGGTCTCTACGCGTCGGCAGCGCGCCCCTTCTGGTTCGATTGGCACAGACAGCGGCACCTGGGCAAAGTGAAGCGACATGGGGCCTGTGCTTCACTGCTCTTTCCCTTTTTGACTGACCCCCTTCCCTTTCCAGCAGATGTTGTACTTTGCTGCCTGCGCCGTTCCTTCCCTCTGTCGTTGGCCCCTGCTTCTCTCTGGACCAGGAAAGCTACCCACGCGCGCGCACTTTCCCACTTTAATTTCCTCTTGGTCTCGCGCACCCCCTGGCACTTTCCCAAAAGAGTTCCCAATTCTTCTGACGTTTTGGCCGTCTCCAGTCTCTCTCTCCCTCTCGACATTCTTCTCTCTCCTTACCTTCACCCCGTCTCCTTTTCTTTTGCGTTTTCCGTGATTCCGTACACAGCTCCACGATCCTGTCACGACCAATTCTTGGTTGGTCCTTTTCGTTCTCGTGCACCTCTGTCGCTCTCGCTCCGCGAGAGATTCGGTTCCCACCTGTCTGCTGATTTGTGGCGCCTTTCTACCTCAGGCCCGAATTACACCCCCAGTTTAATTTGCTGCCCTGTTTCGCCCAGCCTTTTTTCCTTTTATTTTTTTCATTTTTTTCTCGTTCTCATTTACTGAAAGCTGGTCATGATCCCCGGCAAGCTGTGTTCTCTTTAACATTTGGTCTTGTTTCTTCTCACGACATTGTGGTTGCTTCAGCCGTTCGGTTGATTCCCATCCCTCGCCTAAGACACGGCTCCTTTTCTATTCACGACCAATAAGTGAGGAACCAAGCAAAGGCTGCTATTGTCTCGAAGTGGTAGGTCTTCATATCCTTCGTCTAATTCTATGTTGGCAAAAATACCAAAATGACCCGGGCATGAGAGGCCGAGGTGACGCGCATTCACTTGAGTCTTTGGCTCGACGATGGACGATTTCCTGGTTGCGGGGTGTGACAAAGTCTCCCCCGATTTGGAACTTGTACCTTGTTGACGCGCGGTCGTCGCGGCGGCCCTATATTCCTATCTGTTGACAACCAACACGAGCTAACTGCTGGACCCTTGGTTCCCCTTTTCCTTAGCTTCGAGATAGTTGGACGCGCAAACTCATTATCCCGCGACGGCTTCCACGATCCGACTTTTTTCGGCCGGCTTTTAAAACAAACCGAGGCTTTCACAATGGCCGACGCTACCAGCTCCGACCCTGTCCCGCACGACAACGCTCCTGTTGCGCCGTCTGCGGATGTGCCCGCACCGGCCGCCGCCGAGGCTGCTCCTGACGCGGCCGGAGGGGCATCCGATGCGACCGCCTCGAGCCCCAAGAGCACGAAGACGACACCAAAGGTTGCTACGCGCGTCTCCGCTCCCAAGGCTGCTGCTGGAAAACCTGCTGCCGGCACCGCGACCACTGCTGCAAAGCGGACATCCACTGTCGGCACCACGCCTGCCACGACTGCGCGCCGCACTGGCCTAACCAGCAGCTCAGCTACGAAGCCCACCAGTACCTCGAGCGCGAGCCGCACGAGCACCGTCGGCACCGGACTGACCAAGCCCCCTCTGCGCCCGGCTGCCGGCGCCACGTCTACCCTGGCCAAGCGCCCGACAACCTCCTCGTCCACCGCCACGCATCGTTCGAACCCCTCCGCGTCTGAGGACGAGAAGAAGCGTACCGCTACCACCAGCACAGCCGCTCGTCGCACCTCGACCGCACCCTCGTCCACGACGCCCACGACGAAGCCCTCGGTGCGGTCCTCGACCTCCGCCACTCCGGCTGTCGGCACGGCGGCCGCCGCACGGAAGCCGACCGCCGCGTCTTCGACCTCTTCTCCCGCTGCTGCGCATAAACCGACAGCTAGCACATCGTCTACGAGCACCACCGCCACACGCTCCACCACCGCGCCGAGACCGTCTGCGACTGGCCTGGTCGCTGAGGCCAAGAAGCGCCTCTCCACTGTCGGCAGCTCTGCCGCGCCGTCCACCACTGCCCGCCATGCGTCCCGCCCGTCTCTCTCGTCGTCGACCGCCGGCGCTTCGGCTGCCGCAGCAGCTGAGGCTGCCAAGGTGACTGAGGAGCTCAAGGAGAAACTCGCGGCAAGCGAGAAGGAGGTTGCCGATCTCAAGGAGCAGATCGAGTCGTCCAAGGAAAAGATTGACGCGCTCAACGACCAGCTGAAGAAGGATGACGACGGCGAGCAACTGCACAGCGATCGTCTGGCGGAGCTCACGACCAAGCACGAAGAGACGGTCGCTGCACTCAACGCCCAGATTGAGGAGGTCCAGCAGAAGCTGCAGACGGCGGAGGCCAGCCTCGAGAAGCACCAGTCGGACCTCGCTGATGCTGCCGCGGCCAAGGGCACCTCGGATGACGAGGTCGCCTCGCTCAAGGCCTCTCTGGACGCCCTGCACGCGGAGCACGCCGCTCAGCTTGAGGAGAAGGAGGCTGGCCTGCGCAAGGCCACGGCTGACCATGCCTCTGCACTAGAGGCACTGAAGCAGAGCCTTGGACAGGACCACGAGGCGGCCATCGCCACCCTCGAGGCCACGCACGCCGAGCGGCTCAAGGATGGCGAAGCCGCTACGTCGGCATCTCACGAGAAGGCCATTGCCGATCTGAAGACCACCCACGAGAGCGCAGTCGCCGAACTGCAGGCAAAGATCGACAGCCTGACGGCCACCGAGGCTGAGCTGGAGTCGGCTAACAAAGAGAAGGCCGCCGCCCTCGAAGCGGAGGTTGCTGACCTCCAAGTTAAGCTCGCGGCCGCCGAGAAGGCCGCGGAGGATGCCAAGGCCGATACCTCTGCCGTCTCGGCTGTCGAGGCCCAGCTGCAGGCGGCCCAGGCCGAACTCGAGGCCAAGGATGCCAAACTTGCTTCTCTCGAGGCGGCTGTTGCCAAGCTGCAGGAGGAGCTCACCGCATCCCAAGCGGCAGTCGCTGCGGCCGAAGAGCAGCACGCGGCACTCCAGAAGTCCGTCGATACCGCTCTCGAGGACAGCTCCAGCAAGGACGCCAACATCGCGAAGCTGACCAGCGAGCACGAGGCCGCCCTCGAGAAGCACCGCAAGGAGCTCGAGCAGATTTCCAAGGACTACGAGACGGAAATTGAGAGCCTGCGCGGTGACGCCTTCTTCAAGCGCAAGTTCCAGGATCTGGAGGTGAAGCACACCGAACTCACCGAGGCGCACACGGCTGCCAAGGCAAGCCACGAGAAGGCCCTGGCCGACGCCAGCGCCGCGCACGCCGCCGCCTTGGAGGAGAAGACGGCCGCTCACCAGAAGGACCTGGACGCTCTCCGTGCTAGTCACGGCGAGGAGCTCGAGAGCGCCAAGCTGAGCACGAGCAGCTCCGAGAAGGAGGTGCACCTAGCCGAGCTCGAGAAGCTCAAGGCCAGCCACGCCGAGCAGATCGACGTCCTCAAGGCCGACGCCTCGTCCTCTCTGGAGAAGGAACTCGAGGACCTGCGCACCTCCCACTCCGCGGCACTGGCTGCTCTGGCGAAGGAGCATGCCTCTGAGAAGGAGTCGCTGCAGGCCAGCCACGCCGAGGCGATTGCTGCTGCGCAGTCGGCCAACTCGGATGCGTCGGCCTCTCAGATTGAGGAGCTCAAGGCCCAGCTGGCGAGCCACCACGCGGCTGAGCTCGAGAAAGTGCAGGCCGACCTGGCCGCGCGCCACGCGGACGAGCTGCAGAAGACGATTGACGCCCACACGGCCGCCCTCGAGGAGGCCAAGGCACAGTCGGGCGCGGGCCAGGCTGCGGCCATTGACGCGATCAAGGCCGACCTCGAGACCAAGCACAGTGCTGAGATTGAGAAGCTGATCGCGCTGCACTCGGAAGCCCTGGAAGGCGCGAAGAAGGACGGCGCTTCGGAGTCGTCCGCCCTCAAGGAGGCGCACGCCAAGGAAATTGGCGAGATCAACACGCAGGTCGCGTCTGCATCCGAGCGCACGGTGGCGCTCGAGACGCAGCTGGCCGCCGTGCAAGCCACCCTAGCCGAGACCCGCAACGAGCTGGCCAAGGCCAACGAGGAGACGGACGCCATCAGCGGCCAGCTGGCGCAGGCCAAGATGGAGAAGTTTGAGGCCGAGGCGGCGCTCGACGCCACGAAGAACCAGAAGCCCGACACGACGGAGCTCGACAGCCTGCGGGCCGAGCTCAAGGCGCTCAAGACGACGCATGAGAACGACCTGTACGCGGCCAAGACCAAGACGGCCGACGCGACCGACCGGCTGCGGTCGGTGCAGGAAGACCACGAGATGCTGCAAAAGGAGTTTGAGGCGCACCGGCTGGCGGCCGACGCCAAGCAGAAGTCGTCCGAGGTCGACTACTCGGACCTCAACGACTCGATGACGCAGCTGGTTGAGGAGGCGCAGCAGAAGACGGCGGAGGCCGAGCGCAAGGCGAAGGAAGCCGAGCGCAAGGTCGAGGAGCTGCTGGCGCAGCTCAACGTCAAGGAGGCCGAGCTGAAGGAGGCGAATGTACGTGAAGCCGCGGTGACGGATCGACTGGCGTGATCACCGAATGCTGACACCCCCCGTCTAGGCCAAGGCACAAGCACCCAAGGGCCTGGCGGCCAGCCGGTTTGCCCAAACCGACAACGATGATTCCTCGGATGCGGAGAACAAGGACCCTGCCGCGGCGGAAGGTGAGTCCGGCGAACCGGACCATTCATCGGCAGCCCTCGCTTCGGTGCGATTGCCACCGCCCTGCTTGGGGTGACGGTGCAGTATAGACTAACATGGCATGTTCTTGCACAGATCGCTAAAGCGCGGGTGACGGCGCGCGGGCTCGAGGAGCTCGACAACGAGCTGCGCGACCGCAATGCTCAGTACGTTTTGTGTCCCGCACGGGTGTTGACTCGAGTGTCGTTGTACTAACAAAATGTCGTTTCAGCCTGCTGCGAACGATTGCCGACAACAAGGTGCCTTCTCAGTCATAGCTGTGAAGCCCTCTTGCTCTTCGCTCAACCTTTTTTTACTTCACCTCCCATCAGCTCCATCACGCCCATCACCTCTCCTCTCATCTCACCTTCAACAAATCCACCCAATCTCGTTCTACATCTGATACCCCCCAGACTCGGCCCCCCCTTGTTGATTCCGTTTATATTTTGTTATACTACTTTCTACTCGTTCCTCTTTCCATCCAACGCTTTTTTTGTTGCCATTTTCGCATTTCGCTTCTCAAGTTGGACAGAGACGGAGAACACGACGGAAATCGAAGACGGGAAGATTGCAGACAACCCCCGGCATTGTATGCCGTAGGTACTCCCAGTTACATACGACCTTGTCCCCCATATTGTCACATGTATTGCCATCCTCCGTCACAGTCACATACCCTTCACATAGCGAGTTTGACCAACCCGCGCAATATTAATTCTTGGAAATTTACACGTATTATGCCTGTATTACGCAATGCTACGTCTGTTTACTTGATTATTGGTTGAGGCACACTTGTCAGGGCATCCGGCTTACCAGCTGCCTGGATTATGCCAAAGGTTGCTTGCAACAGTACAAACGCCGTCCACTGTGTAAAATGAGTAGCCGTCGGGGGTTTGGCGGGGACAGAGGGAAGAATGTCGCCTGTACGACAGGCTAGCGGGTACCTGTGCTGGCGCGTGACAGTGGAGTTGGGGCAGACGATCTGGGGTTTGGCTGCCGATGAAGAGTGACTTCAAAGTTGGTGTGTGGCGCACTGCAAATGCAAGTCACTCTTGTCACCTGCTCCCGAGCACAATGCCTCGGTAAGATAGTTTGCGGCAGCATTTTGGGGAAAGAGCGCGCTAGTGGGGTGGCGGATGGCGACCACCGAAGCAATGGGTTGGTCAGCGTAAATCCGCCGTTTGTCACTGCCCAACCAGAGACCGAAAGACCCCCCCAAGGGCCCTATAGTTGCCTACGGAAACGTTGGACAGGCGCTGTTTCCCCATGCTTCTGCAACAACGTCAGCGCTTTGCGAAAGTCTGTTTCCCCATTTTGTGTTTTCCGGTAGCACCTTCTCAAACATTGTATCTTTACTCCTTCCTGTTCTAGACAACACCTTTCGACGATATTGCTTCTTCGAGCCGGTGACAAATTACAGACCTCACTTTCCATCCGACCCCTATATCCTCACATCCTCCAACCTCACACCCGCCCCCGCGCCTCACTCCGACTACACTCCCTATACACAGACGCCATGTCGTTTATGGGCGGCGCCGAGTGCTCGACGGCGGGCAACCCGCTCAGCCAGTTCACCAAGCACGTCCAGGACGACCGGAGTCTGCAGCGCGACCGACTCGTCAATGCCGGACCGAATGGCGTCAACGGCTTCCGCAGTGCCAACCGGGGGCCTGCACAAGACGAGGTACGTATTAGTCGTGTGTTGTCACGAGCACGCGATGCTGCCCTGTTTTGTTAGTCCCCTCAGAAAACACAAACCACTAACCTTTGCCCCTTTGCCCTTAGATGGTCAATGGCTTCCTCCAAAACGGCCCCAACATGTCCGAGATGGCCATGGACCCCGCCCACCTCAACCAGCTGCAGATCGATCCCGCCTCGCGCGGCGTGCACCTGCGCGGCCAGTCCGCCTCCCCCGTCTGGTCCGACAGCTTCCGTGCCCAGACGCCGATGGACGCCGGCTTCAGCCCGGAAGAGTTTGCCAAGTTCCAGCACCAGCCGCAGCACCAGCACCCCGCACAGCAGCAGATGGGCGGCGCGTCCGCCTCGGCCGCCGCAGGGCCGTCACAGCACATGCAGCAGCCCATGATGGGCATGGGCTACGCCGGCGGCATGTCGCAGTACGACGCGGGCATGCAGTTCCCCATGTACCGCCCGCAGATGCAGAACAGCTGGGCCCAGCAGCCGTTCCACGCCGCGCCGCTGCAACGCCAGGAACCCAATGCCGTTGTCGAGGGCAAGGGCAAGGGCAAGATTGTCGAGCTCAACGACCACGAGTGGGAAGAGCAGTTTGCGCGCATGGAGATGCAGGACAGGCAGGCCAAGGAGGACGACGACCAAGACCAGGACCAAGCCGCCAACGACGCCATTGAGCGCGAGCTCAACAAGGTCGACGACCAGGTCCTCAACTCCGAGACCAACTTTGGCGACCTCGAGGCCGTCTGGAACGGCATCCAGGCGGAGAACGCCGCCATGCGCGAGGCCTTTGACGGCGGCGACTGGAAGGACGTGTCCGAAGACTTCCAGAACACCTGGGGCGACGACTGGGAGCCGATGGGCAACCGCATGGGCCTGGACCCGCGCATCGACCCGTACCAGTTTGAAGAAGAGAACCTGTTCAAGGAGCACGGCAACCCCTTTGAGGAGGGCGTGCGCATCATGAACGAGAACGGCAACCTGTCGCTGGCCGCCCTCGCCTTCGAGGCCGCCTGCCAGCGCGAGCCCGAGCGCGTTGAGGCCTGGGTGTACCTGGGCTCGGCCCAGGCCCAGAACGAGAAGGAGACCGCCGCCATCCGCGCCCTCGAGCACGCCCTCAAGCTCGACCCCACCAACCTGCCGGGCCTCATGGCCCTCGCCGTCTCCTACACCAACGAGGGCTACGACACCACCGCCTACCGCACCCTCGAGCGCTGGCTGTCCGCCAAGTACCCGCAGGTCCTGCCGCCCGCCGAGCTGTCCAACGCCGCCGAGATTGGCTTCACCGACCGCCAGCAGCTGCACGAGCGCATCACCGACAAGTTCATCCAGGCCGCCCAGCTGTCGCCCGACGGCGAGCACATGGACCCGGACGTCCAGGTCGGCCTGGGCGTGCTGTTTTACGGCGGCGAGGACTTTGACAAGGCCGTCGACTGCTTCCACGCCGCCCTCGCGTCAAGCGAGCAGGGCACCAGCAACCAGCGCTCCCAGGTGCACCTGCTGTGGAACCGCCTGGGCGCGACCCTGGCCAACTCGGGCCGCTCCGAAGAGGCCATTGCCGCCTACGAAAAGGCCCTGTCGCTGCACCCCAACTTTGTGCGGGCCCGCTACAACCTGGGCGTCAGCTGCATTAACATGGGCTGCTACGACGAGGCCGCGAGCCACCTGCTGGCCGCGCTGGCCATGCACAAAGACGTCGAGACGAGCGGCCGCGAACAGGCCCGCGAGATCCTGGGCGGCGCCGCCGCCGGCGTTACCGACGAGCACCTGGACCGCATGACGACGCAGAACCGCAGCACGACGCTGCACGACACGCTGCGGCGTGTGTTTGGCCTCATGGACCGCCGCGACTTGGCCGACCGCGTGTCCGTCGACATGGACCCCGACATTTTCCGTGGCGAGTTTGATTTCTAGACGGGCGGGGAAACAAAGGGAAACGAACAAGAAAGGAAAAGAAACAAAAAATAAAATAAAATAAAAATAAGACTTGACGCGGAGAAAGGAGGACGGCTCATTGTTCACCACCGATGAAGGGACGGGAAACTATTTACATTTTATGGACTTGCATTGATGGGACGGTTGCATTTTATCACGTTGCACTATGCACTATGCACTATTACACAGTTACATCTTTTTTTATTTGCTTTAGATTCTTACCAGGACGCAGTCCTCCCGTTTTGGGTTCTATAATGTTCATAGCTTCATTCATGCCTCTTGCATAGAGAGCAGCCTACCGGCATTCCCCCATATTTCGTATACCCTCACGAAATAAATCCTATCAATCAATCAAAATCATCCCTCCGTCGTACCCGGGAAATCCAGTGGCGTGAAAAAAACACGAGTCGTAAAGCCGATGGATTGCCTCCGATGCATCTCCACTGGGACCTTACTTCACGGCAAGAAATGCAATGCCGTCGCGCGCGCGCCGCACCGCCTGCTGCAGCTGTTGTGCCTCCGTGTCCGTCCACGGCACCGAGATCTGGTCCCACTTGATCCCCGGTGTGTGGTACTCTTTCTTGTGCTGTGCCCGCTGTGCCTGCAGCCGGCTCATCGCCCGCGGGTCGCCACTGCCGCTCAAGACCACCAGTGCCGTGCAGGGCGGCAGCTGGGCGTGGATGCGCCGCACACGGCGGGCCAGAATGCGCACGGCGCGCTCCAAGGGCGACGCTTCGCTCCCACCATCCCTACTACCACCATCGGGCTGTTCCTCGTCCGGATGCCTGTCCGCCTCGGCCGCCATCAGCACCTCCAGCATCTGCAGTGTAGGCGGCCCTTGGCCGTTTTGGGTTTGGCTTTGTGCAGCGGCGGCAGCAGTACCAGCAGTACCAGCAGCCGCTGGCTGGGGGTCGGCGCCACCCGGCAGCTTGTTGCGGTTCCACCACCCTTGCAGCGCCTCCAGCTCGCGCATCCGCGCCCACACAAAATCGACGCCGCCGCCAGGGACCACTTTGCCGTCCGGGTCGCCCTGGACCGCCCGCATCAGGTTGGCCTCGACATCGGCGTCGCTGCGGCACCCGCCCAACACGATGCCCGCCTCGCCACAGAGCGTTCGGCGCGCATCGCCCCAGTCGACGGCCGCCGTCGACTTGCCCGTGGCAATGCCACCCGTCGCCTGGGGTCCGCCCTGCGACCGGTAGGCGGTGCCCGCACGCGCCAGCCGGTGGAACAGGTTCTCGCCGGCACCCTCGCCGCCGGCCCACTCGGCGTTCTGGCCGCTAGCGCTGCCGCCCCAGGCCTTGCCCTTTTCGCACTTGCGCTTGATCAGGTCGAGGCAGGTGCGCGCGTCTTCGACGCTGTCGTGGCCGCGGGCGGTGCCGTGGCCCTTTTGGATCTCGCGGTTCAGATACTTGCTGGAGAGCCAGCGAAGGGCGTGCTTCTTGGCCGGGGCCATGGGGTGCGGGAAGACAATGGATGTGTCGACAATAAAGGGGTGGGTGAGCTGCATGGCGCGGACATCCGAGTCGAGCGAGTGGCCCACGAGGATGGCGCGCCGGTCGAGAATGGCGAGCAGCCGGCGCTGGATGTCGGCGAGGCGGGTCGTGACAGGCGCGAGCATGGCCTCGGTGATGCCCGAGAACTGCGTCAGGTAGTCGACAATGGGCTCGTCGGGCTTGACGAGCTCGTCCATGACGACCTCGCCGTCCCAGGCAACGACGCTGATGCGTGTCAGGACAAACTTGTCGTCCGCCGCCTTGCACATTTCACAGTCGACGGCAAACACCTTGCGGCCGGCCGTGATGCTGCCCTGCTCAATCTCCGCTTCGGGCACCTCACCGTCCGCCAGGTCGGCCACGTCGGTGTGCACCCAGCCGGGCTCATCCGCAAAGGCGCTGCGCTGGTCCGCCGACAGCAGGGCCGGGTGCAGGACAAACTCGTTGGCAATGTACTCTTGCGGGGTAGCGATGAACTCGGTGACGCGTGTGCGGACGTCCTTTGCGCCGTTGTCCGAACGGAAGCGTGGCCCAGAACCTTTGGGTTTGCTGTCTTCGGAGGCCGACTTGGGCAGCGGCGCCGTCAAGAAGGTGGCGACGGGCGAGAAGAGCGTGGCGTACTTTTCGTTGCCGCGTGCCCGCACGGGCCAGAGCTGCGGGAACACATCGGCAAGCGGCTGGACGGCTGCGGGGAGGCTGTCTTTGTTGAGGGCGCGCGGGTAGGCGTCGTCGTGGGGTGTCGCGACCTTCTTGGTCCAGCGCTCCAGCGCCTCGATGCTGCCATCCTCCTGCTGCATCCACTGGGCAAAGTCGACCCCGGTCTTGAACATGGCCTCCTCCAGACCCGGCACCAGAATGGTGACGATCTTGCGAAAGGATGGCCGGTGGTGCACACCGATCCACTGTGGCGCCGTGCCGTCGGCAAAAATGTACGTGACGAGGTTGCGCAGGTCCGAGACCTGGATCTTGCTCTGCAGGCGGGCGTTCTTGTTGAAGGTGAGGGCCGGGTAGTTGCCCGAGTCCTTCTTGGGCACCTTTTTTAACTTCTTCGTAGGACGCCCGCCACGGATCGTCTGCCACTCGCCACCGCCGTCCTCGCCATCGGCAGCGCCGTCTATCGCGGTGCCGTCACTTGGCTTGCCGTGCCTTTCCTTCTTGTCCCGCTTCTTGTCCTTCTTATGCAGAGTTTTGCTGTCGCCATTGTTGGAGAGCGAGAGTGCCTCGGTCGCAGCCAAATCCCCGAGCTCCATGTCGGAGCGCGACCGCTTGGTGCCGGCGACACTGACAGCGGAGTCGCTGGCGCTGTTCGAGGGCGACTCGTCGCCAGGGCTGGACGGCCTGGCCGTCGTCGAGTCCGCGGCGACGGACGCGGTGGACATGGTAAAAGGAAAAAGGGAGTGGAGGGTGAATCGGGAAATTGATGGTTGGTACGTCGGTCGTTGGCCGGAAAGGGGCTGCTCGTTTTTTGGAAGGAACGGCTCAGGTCGGTTTGGAAAGAATGACGTAGCGGGTGGACGAAAGGGAAATGGCAAGCTCGACCAAGAGTACAATTGTTGTTGTGACGAGGTAGCGGAATGCACTTGCCTTCCGGCGCGAAGGTCGTCATGCGATCCGAAAAAGGATAATTCTGCCGCGCAAAGAAGGAGCCTGGCAAGCTTGTGGGGGCCCACCGCCTTCCGTATTAGGCAACTCGGCTGTAAACCACAAGGTGCAACTGCGAGTCAGCAACAACTTAATACGGAAAGCTACAACAGGCTACAGTGAGTGACCACAGTATTATTAGCGACTCAGTGAACTTGAACGGTGTCTTACTGACACCTCACTTTATCATCGCAACTCATTCAACTCGGGATTCATTCCAATCTCTATTTCGTTATTGCCCCTATATGACATCACTCCCTTCATTTCGCATAACGTTTGTTTCTTACTTTAACTATCGAGAAGACAACACGCTTTCCAGCAACGCAATGGCTACGGCAGACACAGCGTCCAGTCTCTTGAGAACACGTTCGTCAAAGTAGCGCACACCAGAGGGGGACATGGGGTCGGCAAACCAGCGCTGGACCGCCTCTGTGGTCGCGCCAAGGTCCGGCTGGAAGTTCGAGGGCGTGTTTACTCTGGTGGCGGCCGGGGCGCCAGAAGCTTTCTGCTGGGCATTGGCCATGCCGCTAATGATCTCGCGGTTGTCCATGTTCTCGACCTGGTGCAAGAAGTCGCGCGCGTCGTCTAGGGGCGGCCACTGGTGCGAGTGGCCCTTGGGCCCCTGTTCGAGGACGATGCGCAGAAGGGCCTCGGTGGTGGCGCTGTCGACGAGGCCGTTGAGCTTGTCGCGCAGGATCGGCGAGACGTTGCGCGCCGGGTCGGACCTGCCCGAGTCGTCGAGGCCGTCCACGTCCGGAAACACGACTTTCAACACCTGCGGGAGCATGGTGACGACGCTGTTGAGGTTGCGGACGCGGCGCATGTCAAAAGGCGCCGGGTAGCGGTACGGATCGATGTGCTGGCAGATGAAGATCAAAAAGGCCAGCGCGTGGCAGTAGTTGCGCAGCTCCAAAAAGTGCATAAAGGCCAGGTGCATCAAGTGGGCGACGGGCTCGTCTGCCCAGCGCTTGGCATCGATGAGCGGCTTGCAGACCCGATAGAGGCGACGCATCTGCGGCAGGCGCTTACCAAAGTAGGGGTCCTCCTCGGTGTAGGAAACGTCCGACTCGTCAATGGCCTCGACGCCGCTTTCGGTATACATGGCCTCAATCTGTTCGGGCGTGATTAGGTGACCCTCGGCCTCGCGCAGGATAGGTGGGTTGCGCAGCAGATCGAGATGCGGCACGACCGTGAACCGATTGTTCAGCGGCAGCACGGGTGACTGCTGGCACACCTGGTAGACGTCCAGATTCTCGGTGCAGCGGCGGCACGTGCACGTAAAGTTGTAATGCACAAGCCCGCGCTGGCGAACCGTGCGCGGCTTGGTATAGTCAATGTACGAGACGGTAATCTCGTCGCCGGCCCTGATCGGCTCCGTAGCACGCAGCCAGGTCTTGGGCCCAAAGAAACCCACAACGGCGTTGGGCAGGCACGAGTGGTTGGCCATGGCCAGGGTCGCGTCCAAAAAGATGCCCGACTGCGTCAGGTTGTGGTCACGGCGGTCAAACGTGTTGGTGTGGATGCGACACATGATCTCGACCGCCGTGCGGATCTGGTCCTCGCCGAGCCAGCCAGTAAACTGGCACGCTGCGGCCGCTTGCAGCTTGAAGTCGTCCCACAAGTCGCGGTTGCTGATAAAGGCCGGCACATTGCCCTCGAGGGCCTCGACGGTCGCGCGGATGTCGGCCGAATCCACCCACTGCAGGATCACCAGCATCAACGCACGCACGGGCGCCGGCAGAGGCTGCACATAGCCACCGGGTGTGGCCGCGGCCTGCCGGGCAGCGCTCTCAAAGGCGTTCTTGAGCGGCCTGCACTCGAACTTGTGGACACGCTTCCAGTGCGCCCGCTGGCACTCTTTGCTGCAGTAGGCAACGGCCTGACACCCCTGGCACTTCTTGATTGAACCCGCGCGGCGGGCATCCAGGCAGTTGTTGCAGGTCTTGGTGGCATCAGGGCCGGACGGCAGCACAATCAGTGGTTTGCCAAAGACGGCAATCTCCTCACCAGGTGCATAGCTGCGCGTTGCAAAGAGGCCGCGACCACGTCTCGCGGGTGTCACGCCCGGAGGGGAGCGGTCGCCGCGGATCTCGAGACCTGCGGGGATGGAGACCATGGTGTGAATGTGCGAGGTGGATGGATAAGGATGAGGAGAGGGAGAAGAATAGAAGTCAGAAACAAAGAGGGAAAGGGAAGAAAGGGTGCCCCCAAATTGAAATGGGAGTGAATCGAGAGAGAAAGAGTGAGACCCTGGGTCTTCTGCCCACTGGAAGAAGGTGCGCTGCTCGCACTAAATCAGGTCTCACCCAAAAAGGCACTGTAACTCGGCCAATCAGGGCTCTTTCCAGGCCACCCTGCCCTGAAGTAGTTGAAACTTTGTGTGTAGCCTTGCGCTGGCGTGAAACCGACCGTTTCAGCCTTGCGAACGTCATTTTAACATACAAATGATGGAAAGCACTGTCATAACAGACGTCCTTCGAAGGTCAAGAACATTTTTTAATAAAGCCATGTAAGTCATCATTGCCTTTGTTTGAACTTCTACAGTATTTTACTGAGTTTTCTTTTCATAAATTGTGCCAGTTGCAGTTCGCAATAATTTTTTGTTTTCATGACCTTTTCATTGTCATATCCATACTAATTAATCCCCTACGAATATCCAAAGGTCACAGGGAATTTTGGGCTTCTGTATATCACAATGCATGACCTAGCACCATAACTACAATTATACTTTGATTGTGCAGGGTATATACAACATTAACATGGTCATGTCAACAAAGAATGTCCGTGGCAGCTATCTACTGCCCGTCGCATGCACCGCCTTCAAGCTTCTACAACTCCGACTTGCCACTGGAGCTCTTCGTAATGTCTTGAAGTCCCTTCCACAGCCCGTGCGACCAGTGGCTTTTGTCCTTTCTATGTGACTTGGCCAGCTGCTGGATGTGGTGGTCCCAACAATGCGCGTGCACCGTGCCGTCACTACACGAGGTCTCCGCCGCCGCCACCGCAAACGCCTTGACGGGCCACAGCGACAGGTCTGCACCCATGCTCACGTCCAAAAAGTTGTCGTTCACAAGGTTGGCCGCACGCTGGCGCACCGCGTCGTACGCGGCATCGCCCTCGCGCTCGACCAGCAGACGCAGCACCTCCGTCAGGCCGCCGCGCGCCAAAAAGTCTTGCATAATATCCTTGTCCCTGATGAGGCCGCTGATGGCCAAAAGCCGGGAGCGAATCCATGCCGGCCGGTTGGCGGTGGCGGCATCATCGTGCGCACCGTTGCCATTATCGTACGGCCCAAAGACGACGTCGCCCAGTGTCGCACGCTGGCGGTTGATCGTCGCGCACTCTCCACTCTTGTACGTGTCCCAGGAGGCGGCCACCTCACGGAGGGCCACGGGGTTGTTCTGCACAGCGGACGCAACGGCCAGGGCCGCCTTCTGTGCCGCCTCGACACCACGGTCACCGCCGACGCGGCCGCCGCTCATGAGACACAGCAGCTGCCGCGTGATGTCGCGGTCCTCGGCCAGCTTGAGGCCATAGTACATGTCGTGTGCGACGTCGTCAATCTCGACGAGCGCATCAAGGAAGCGGCTCTGCTCAGCAGCCGTCAGGTCGATCTGGCCATTGTTGCGGCCGCTGTTGCTGTCTCCCGAGGCCACCTGCCCGACAGCCACGCCCTTGACCAGGGCAATGGACTCGTGGAACGTAATGGCAGCGCGGCTGCCTTCGCCGTCAGCGTGGGCGCCCGGGTCCTTGACAACCCCGGCGGGATCGTAGGCCGGCGCGCCTTTGGGAATGCGGGGCGTGTCCACGTTGATGCCGTCTTCTGGCTGGTCGACAAGAACGACGCCACTGTCGACCGGCAGCCCCTGGAGTCCCGCCGGCAGCTCCTCGGACTCGTTGTTAATCTTGGCCTCACGCAGTCCCGTATTGATATTGAGGCGCACGTGTAGGCCCGGTGGCAGGTCCTGGTCTTCGTGCACGCGCTGGAACTCGTTGGTGGGCTGGAAGACACGTGGGTAGCAATCGGCGGCTACGTCCGTGTGGCAGATGAGATCGTCGCTGCCAGCAGCGCCGCCCGCAGCGCTGTCCTTGTTCGTTTGTTGTCTTGGTGACGGCGGAGCCGAAGAAGCGGCCGAGGCCACGGCAAGAAGACAGGCGACAACAAGAAAAACGGCCAATACTTTGCCTAAAAAGGACCGTGAGATCGTTGGCCGCGATCGTACGCGGGCCATGGTGCGAGTGTACAAGTGTGTGTGAGAGGAAAACTTGCAAGTTTATCACAACTCGCCGATGAGATGTCGATAAGAGGCGATACAATGACAGTCGCCTTCACGAAAAGAAGAGAAAAAGAAAAGAATCAAAAGAACCTTTATGCAAACAGACACCCGACACAAGACAGAGAAAGAAGACCATGGAACCTCGAAAGGCTTTGACTCAACGTCAAGTGCCAAAGTGTCCCTTTCGCAAGGCAGCCTCGCCACTCGCCAGTTGCGCGATGTAGTGGCCCCCGTGTTAGTGACGTGCGATGTGTCCTGAAAAAGAATTTAAAAACACGTCAAACTTTAGCGGATGTTAGGGGTTGGTGGCCTGGCCGTGGGTGAGTGGCACAATGCCACATTAGCGCCTAAAAAGATGGCACCAACTGCAGGTCTTCCTAATTCGTCGCTGCTGAGTGGCCGAACCCTGGCCCCTCTTAAGCTCGTTAGATGCATATCCTTATAATCAGCACGAATATCGCCATACCCACAAGCGCATCTCCTCTTCCCGGCCGTTCGGTCTCTGTTTTTCCCTCGTCTCCGGCAAGAACGACGAACCTCCACGCAACGGCCACCCACCCCGTCCGCGCTAATTGACTTTCTTTGCGGCTCCCCCGACGACAGATACACACACCACAAGTCACAATGCAGCCGATAAGACAACGGCTGGCGTGCATGGCGCGCCAGGCGCGTGCCCGGCCCGCCCGCCTCACGGCCGCGCCGGCTGTCCGCTTCGCCTCGACCGACAGCCACGGCGACCACCACGACCATCATGAGCACCACGGCCCTGTCGATGAACCCATGGGTGTATGATATCTCTATCTCTGTTTTCTCTGTGTTCTTTCTTCTCCCTCCAGCAAGCGAACCCCGCTAACCTGGCAGACCGCCTGGTACATTGCCGTCGGCGCGATCCCCCTTACCTATGCTCTGTACACCCTGTCCCGGCCCGGCAAGGACGGCGAGCCCACGGCCATTGAGGCCTACCTCAACAAGTTCTCCTACCTGCGCGAGCAGTGGGAGACCCGCGGTCACCTGCACACCGCTGCTGTGGAGCAGGCCGCGCACGACAAGAACCTGTTCTACACCGTCGAGCGCAGCTCCAACATTGACCTGCGGTATCCTGAGTGCGTCGATATTCATCCTACCGGCTTCCTACTGCCTATGCTAATCGTCTAGGGTCTTCCAATCGAGCTCGCCGTACAACATCCCCGCTGGCCACAACGTCAACCTCGACAAGGTGGTCGCCCACTACCGCGAACAGCACAACAAGGAGGTCGAGCGGCAACAAGCGGCCGCCGCTGCCCGGACGAAGGAGTAATGGAGGGTGCAAGCAGACGAATGGAGCAGAAATAAAGAAAATAATACCAAAAATACCAACCACGGCTAGTCAGGCGCCATGTTGGATTCCATATGAATTCTCGACGGCACAGAGTACATACAGCTGGGGCCGGCGGCTGACAAGAGGTCGTCAAGGAAAGACGCCGACAACGACCATGGACGATGGCAGCAGTGGAAAGGACTCATTTAGAGTAGAGTCTGTGAACACCGTCGGACCGGTTTGGCAAGCATTTGAGTTTTTAGCATCATTTATTTTACTTTGTCCCGTCGTCATGTACGACAATAAAGACCCGAACATTTCAAAAAATTGCACCCAGGCGGGAACTGCTTTGCACGTATGAACCCAAACACAGCATGGCAGCATGGCATCCTGAATTCGTCAATCTGCCACGTAAAGTCATCCTGGGAAGCGCCAGCGTTGCAACTCTAACCTTTTCCGAAGCAGCCAATCGTATGCTCTGCAGGCTTGCCCATTTTACGACTTTTTTGTGCAGACAACTTAATTCTTCATTTCACATTATCCGACATTTGGACGACTTGAAAAGGAAAACAAACTCATTGCCGTCTTTCAATACCCTTTTCAGTCGTCTTTGCGATGGCTTACACTAAATCCTGACCGATGCACAATGTCGTATAACCGTTCGTGCCTGCCATACTAAAATTTCCAGGCTAACAAGCTTCCTTCCTAAATCGAACACGCGACCCAAGTTTATAGCTCGGCATTCTCAAAAACAGACTCACTGCCCTTCTCGACTATGTGCACTCATATTTGGTCGACATAAACGACACCTCAAGTGCTTCACAGTTACGAATACACAAGCTCACACCCTGCCCCACCAACACCGGAGCACGTGTCAATGTCGAGAGACGTCGTCGACATAGTGGCTGCACGGCCAACCGGCGACAGCAAGCCCAAGAGAGCAGAAGAAGAGACGGAACAGACACAGACAGAGACAGAGGCAAAGAAAGAGAGAGAGACAGGTTCATCTCCGACACAGAATCTTGTCAACTCACAGTCTTCTGCTCTACCAGAATCGTCGCCACCCGCCGACCTTCAGATCCGCCTCAACGACGACCCGGCCCTCGGCTTCTGTGTCTACGCCCTCCGGCCCTATCGCCGTGGCGAACGCCTCTTTGAAGAGCGCACCGCCCTCGAGGCGACGCATGACGCCCACAAAGACGGGGTCCGTAACGTCTACGAGCGCTACTGCCAGCAAAGCCCGGAACGCCGCCGTGCCCTGCATGGCTCCTTCCCCTACCTCGCCTGGGCCAATGGCATCGACGCCCAGGAAGCAGCGGCGGCCCGCACGCTGGTCGGCTCGCTGCTGACGTCCAAGGGGCGCCAGCCAGTCATTGACAACCGGCTAACGGCGGAGGATCACATGCGCATGCGGCCGGACGGGGGCGTGCGCCCGACGGACGCCGCGTCGCCCACGGCGGAGAAGATGGACGGCCCGAGTACGCCGGTGGTGGCCGCCCTGCGGGCCAAGGCCGCGCTCCGGGGCCTCTTTAAACGCTCTGCGTCGCTCGCGTCCCTGGCCGACGCGGACGACGACGGTGTGGCGGACCCCGCGGACAAGCGGGCGCGCGCCGAGACGCTCGACTGGTTCAGCCGCTACGCCTTCCGGCTCAAGCCCAACGCCTCCTTTGCCAAGCCCGGCGGCAACCACCAGGCTGCCGTCTACCTGCTGACGGACTTGATCAACCACCGCTGCGGCGGGTTCCAAAACTGCCGCGTGTCGGCGGACGTGGGCACGATCGCGGTGCTGGCGCTGCGGGACATTGCGGCGGGCGAAGAGGTGACAATCAACTACAGCAAGGATGTCAAGGACTTCCAGTGCAAAGGAGAATGCTGTGTGAAAAAGTAACAGGGAGAGTGGACAATTTGTGTTTTTATTTTTTATTTTTGAGCGATCATGAGCGTTGTCTTTTACATGTTATCCCCAGTCTAGTCCCTTGGCATGCAGACGTTTCTCGGCATAGACCAAAGGACATTAAAAATCAGTGAAGGAAGAGAATCAGTGGGAAAAAAACAGGTGGACGAGAGACGGATGACAAAGTCTGACCACCATGCGACGTACACGAGCTTATGAATACCATGATGACTTCACTCTTGACCACGACGTCATTTTGATCATTTTTTTTATTCAAGCCAACTATCAAAACTTTCCGTGATAGCCACTCTAGTGGAGTTTTTAGTAAAAACAAAAGAACCCATTTGTTTGCCCTCCCACCCAGGGCATGCATGACGAAAGCCAGCAGAACCACAAGAGAGACGTAGAGAGAAGGACACCAGATATAAAGAGACAGCAGTGCCATCAACCCATACTTGTTGCCGTACAATCACGCTCAGCAAAGTAGATAGTCTGATGGTCGCATTCCCATCGTCTCCAATGCCTTCCACACGTCGTCTCATCCTCTGCTCTACCAGACTCTCCCTCCGGGAAAATTTGCTTTCCATTTTCCTATTGCGGTCGTCTTTTTAATGCAAGATAAAAAGTTTTGTATTTTTTTTTTCGTTAAACCCAGATTAACCCATGGCCCGAAAACAAATCGTAGCACAGCAACGCGGACAGGGTAGTGTATGTTGATGTTGAGGGAGAAGAAGAGTCGGAGGGGATGTCGTCGCTGCGAAAAAGGTTTGTCGTCGAATCGTCGCATCTGCTCGCGTCCGGTCGCCATCGAGATATAAAAAATCCGAGTCGTTTACTTGAGGGGAATGAAACGCGACGAGTGGGTGGCACCGATACCGGGGCGACCGTGCTTGACGGGCCGGTAGGAGATGGAGAACTCGGCCAGGTAGTGGCCGACCATCTCGGGCTTGATCTCGACCTGGTTGAACTCCTTGCCGGAGTAGATGCCAATGACGCTGCCAATCATCTCCGGGACGACAATCATGTCACGCAGGTGGGTCTTGACGACGTCGGGCTTCTCGTTGGGCTTGGCCTCCTGCTTGGCCTTGCGGAGCTTCTTGATGAGGCCCATCGGCTTGCGCTTCAGGCCACGGTTGATCCGGCGCCGGGCACGGGCGTGCACGACGTCGCGCAGCTCATCGGAGCCGAGGTCGAGCAGCTGCTCGAGGTCGACACCACGGTAGGAAAACTTGCGGAACGCTCTCTTGCGCTTGAGCTCAGCGGCCTCCTCGGCGTTCTGCGGAAGACGAGTTAGTTTTCAGGATCGATCGTTGTATCCAATCAACAGTCCCCCCCTTCCCCTTCCATCAATGATCCCGTCGTCGTGCCCTGTCGTCGTCGCTTCCTTGCCGTTGCCATCCAAGTTCTTCCGTGTTCCCTTTTCCGGCGCAGCGACGCGATCGAGACGAGACGTCGATGGTCCGACGGGTTCCTCCTCTTTTCTTCGTCTTTTCCGATCCCCTCTTTCTCTCTCAACGTGGTGATGAACGTACGTATTCGGAATCCGCCATGATTGCTGTCGTTTGTGATGTGCAAAGAGAAAAAACTGATGTTTTTCTCTTTCCGGGAGGTTGTTTGTCGAAGTCGAGTGGTTGAATGTCGATTCGTAACTTCGTAGGGGAGAGGGAAAAAGAATGAGAGGTTCGATTTCTTTCAGCAGGGCTCGTTAGTCTCACACACACAAAAACTATGGGTCTCCTCCCTATTTCGCTGAAAAAAAAAACCCGTGCAAAAAATTTGGGCTGTTCCCCCCCAAAACTGGCACTAGCGAGCAAAGGGCGGATAAAATTTTGGCCCTTGACTGGCGGGTAACACGCCATCTGTAGGGTTCACTTGCCCTCTGGGGAGATGCGGCAGGCCAATGAGAGCTAGAGCATCTAGCGTTCAAATTTATGACTACATTCACGTGACTGTAATTGATGACGGCGCACGTGCCGATAAGATTGAATCCTTTGGCTACTGCATATCGCTCTAGCCGAGTTAAAGCCTCCCTTCATCTTCCACCTCAAATAGTTGAGAACACTGCCAAACTCGACAGCGCCTGTCCAGTCTGCGACACCATGAGGCTGTCGGCGCACGATGAGCCCAGGTTGGCATTATGGACCCAAGCGGGCTCCCAATAAAACAAGCCCCGGCCGCCGGCCACGCCCGCGACAACGTTTGCGACGGCCTGCACCCAGGCGGTCTGCCCGGCCGCCGTATATGGAATGCTCTTGGCGTCCGCGGGGAAACTGTACTTGGGCCGCGGACACGAGGTCGGCCAGTCCGTCTCGGCGACGACGAGCTCCTTGCCCCAGGCGGCGGCCATGTTCTGGAGCGACGTTTTCAGGCTGGCGAGGGTGGCAGCGGCGTTGTAAAAGGGGTAGTACGAGACGCCCATGATGTCCAGGTCGGACGCCACCAACGGTGAGCCGGATGCCAGCACCTTGGTATAAAACGAATGCTGGGCGGACCAGGACCAGCCGTTGTCGAGGTGGACCATGATTTTGGGCGGCGGGGCGTCACGGACGGTGGCGAGCTTGGAGGCTTTGACGCCGGCGGACGCGGCGTGCAAGAGGGCCGCAATGTTGCTGTACGACTTGGTGCTGCCGACCGGCCAGAGCAGGCCGTTTGTGATTTCGTTGCCAATGGAGATGATGGAGAGGGGCGGCAGGGAGGAGGTGGCGGCCGCCCCGGGGACGGCGTCGGCTGCAAACGCGTCGCACACGTCCCGGGTGTAGTTGAAGATTTGTGTGGTCAGTTCTTCCAGCGTCTTCGGCCAGCCCGCTGGGATGGTCTGGTGGCCCGGGTCCGCCCATGTGTCCGAGTAGTGCAGGTCCAGGTAGACGCCGAGCCCCGCCGCCCGCGCGCGGCGTGCCAGCTTCAGGTTGTAGGCCAGGTTGTAGGCGCCATTGTCGGGTTTGGGGTTGACCCAGAGACGCTGGCGGACCATGTTGACGCCGCTGGCGGCCAGGATGCTCTCCAGTGGCGCCGCTTGGTTGGTGGTCGCGGACTTGTAGTTGACGCCAGCGGCTTCTTCGACGGCGACGGAGGACCAGTCGACACCGCGGTAGGCGAGAGCCGCCGCAGCGACGGAGGCTGTGCCAAGGCCGCCGAGGAGGGAAACGGGTCTCATTGCGTCAGATTATCGTGCCCTGAAAAGTAGAGGGCATGGACGGTGTGCGACGATCATGACCATGACATTGTTGCCTATAACGTATCCATACGCAGCGACTGGGTTTTCAATCGCGTTATATTGTTTGCGGGAAGCGGATGCAGCGTCCACCGTGGTCGCATCGTGTAAATTGAGCCATATATTCCGGTATAAATTTGCGGATGGAGTCACGGCTGTGCCGTCTCGATTGGCCGGGTAGATGATTCGTGCCAGTAGAAAACTATTTCATACTTCTGCCAAGCACAATCCGCCTGGGCACTCACAATGTTTGTCATTTGTCCGCCAATGAAGCATTTGAATTATTCGTATTAGATCTGTCTATCTTTTCCCTATTCGCTCGACAGCGACCTCAGGAGTCCTTTTGTCCCCCTCTCCCATCTTCTTCCCTTTTCGTGACGCGTCGTGTCGTCCCTTTTTCCTCCGGGACACTGACACTTGGGCTTTGAGATTTTAGTAGCAGAGGATCGAAGACAAGTTGTGTGTTCGCGAGGAACAAACCCGCAGTCTCTCCCCCCTACGAAACTCTCAAAGCCCAAGAATCAGTGTTCGGGAGGAAAGCGAGGGAAGTGACGCGGGGGGGAACAAATGGGAAATGTGAAGAAAGAGAGGGGAGGACAGAAGGGCTTCTGCGGTCGCAAGAAGAAACGGAAAGGACGGGAGCAAAGGTAAAACGCAGTAAATGCAGATTAACAATTAAGTAGAAAGTAATGCAACGAAGCATATTTTGTCGGCAAACGACGTAGAAAACAGCACAGACAAAAACAACAAAAAAACAGAAGAAGAAACATCTATTAAACAATCAAAAGAAACCGTAAACCGTAGACCATATATCATAAAATCAAAAGGATACTGCAGTCGAAGAAATGCACTGGCAATGCAAATGGTATCGCAGAAAAAGGGACCGGGACAACATGCTAGCTAAAACAAAGAAGAACGCAAGAATGTAGAAGACGTGCTGTGGTGAGAGTGATTAAGAGTGCTGGTTGGAGGGACTTGGTTCTCTCCTCGCATCAGGAGTCACTCCTCACATCTTTGTTGGCCGGTTGTCGACGCTGTACGGCGCACCGGCCGCTTTGGTCGACTGCGGCGACTTGCCAATGTCCGAGACCAGGTTCTTGGTCCAGGTCTTGAGCGAGCTGGACTTGGACTGGGGCGCCGCGGCGTAGTCGTCCTTGACCGGGTAGTAGGAGGAGGTGTCGCTGTAGACGGAGGCGGCCGACGACGCGGTGTTGGCGCTGGGCTTTGCGGTGGTGTACGAAGACGAGTTGGCCGCCTTGTTGGCGGCCATGGTGGCCTTGGCATGCGCGTAGGCATGAACAGAGTCGCTGTAGGCAGACATTGTGGAAGTGGTGATGAGATTGCGGGAGATGTGGTTGTAGTAGTAGCAGTAGTGAGTAGGAGCTGGTAGGAAGAGGACAGACGTTTATTTGTAAAGTTGTTTGTAAAGTTGTTTGTAGAGTTGTTATAAAGGTGACGGGTGTAAGTGGAAGTGTGAGTTCAACTATTGTTGAGTGTTTGTTTGCGTTTGATGATCGAAAAGGAAAATATCTTGACCAGGAGCGAGGGGATGCCTCTTTACTTATACATAATTCGAGATAAAAAAGCAATCAACGATCAAAGCCACGCGTCACACGAAGGGCGTCAAAGGCGAACATGAAAGGAGGTTCCCAACATGGTCAATCGTCTTGCGTTGGTCCCATCTGATCTAGCGTTATGACAAGATACGACAGAATAGCGAGGCAATCAAGGAGAGGACCCAGTAAAAAGGGACATCGGCAGGCCGCAGCGGCCCAGTCGTGTCATCTTGTCATCTCGTCGCCGCTTTTCTTATTTTCTTTTTTTTTCTTTCTTTTTTTCTCTGATGCCTCGACAACTTTCCGTTGATTTCCTCGGTCTCACAACCTTAACCTCGAGCAATGCCACGAGCTGTCGTCCCCGTCTAGTCATCTCCACCCACCTACATCACCCCTGCCCCCCCTGCTCCACACCAACTAACACACGCCAGTGCAAACCATGCCGACTCAAAAAAAAAAAAACGGAGGGCCTGGCCGAAGGGGTGCTGGCAGCCTTACTTTTCGGGTCATCGTATCCTCATTTCGTCGTCTCTGCCTGAGGTGCGTCGTGTGTCCCGCGCGTCGTAGCACCATTGCTTTGTAAGTTGATATTGTGAAATTGAGGGGGTTCCCAACATCCATTGCGCGTAAATGGTCATCTGCTGCAGCGTCTCTCCATGTCGACGCCAGCGAGTCTCCGTATTTCGTGCTTTCAAGCTTACGAAGACTCACGGACTATTCTCCGTGTCCGGTTTCCTGCTGCCTTACTTGGCTACGTACTCATTGCGTCTGCTGTCGCGGCCTTGTTTCTAGATGTTTCTGTTTATGCTTGTTTTTCGTGTATGCTTGTTTCCTTGTGTTTCTTGTAATGCTTGTGATGCTAGGTTTTGCTGGCCAGCGTCACTTTGACATGCACTGCTGCCTTGGCGATTAGGCCTACATCGGCCATGTCTGGATCCCATCTCTCACGACCCCCTCAGTCGGGTCATCTTTGCCAAAACACAGTTAAATCCACCCTAGTTTGTAAGCTAAACAAACCGGCGGCCATCACCGATGACTCCTGTTGCGGAGCGAGGCCGTGCAAAGAAAGTCAAAGCTTTCCAACCTCCAGCCTCTTTCCTTCAGCCTCAACAAGACAAGGTCTGGACCCTATTACGTCGACGCTCCGTTCTACTCCACAAAGGTTAATGCCTTCTTTAGTAGATTAGCACAGTCTTCCCTACAATGCAGGCTCTACGCCAGACGACAAACGACAGATTGCCATTTCGTGCACCTTTGGCGGCTCACTTTGGCAAGTCTATCTTCCTTTGTAAACAGCGGCAAAAATATAGAAACCTGTTGTTTGGTTCGCTATGTTGAAGCCTCTCGTCGAGCTGAATAAGAGGCTAACGAGGAAGAGGCAAATCCAATCGCATCGGATAGAGGTGGTACACTCGATGTTACGGTTTACGACGGATGAAAATGGAGGCTTGCAAAATTCTCCTGTGCAGCTTTGTGCCACAATGGAGATCGAAAGCACGTACATCATGTACGAAGACGTAAGAAGAACAAAATTTTCAGGCAATCTCCGCTGCACATGCAATACGATCGTATCTCCATTGTCCAGTCAGTTTTGCTTGCGGCGCAGCAGCCTCTGGTAGTTGTCGGTCGAGATGGGTCTGGATGTGCAAAACTTTGCATGCGATCCATAGCCGGTGCCTGAGAGACGGTAATGCACGTCTTGCGACGGTTGGACACGGTCTGTTCTGGTGCGAAGAGGAGTGGAGTATCGATGAAATTTTCAGTTGGCGTAGACATCGTGGCTGGCAGCGCGCGTTGCCGTGTAAGTCGTCCCATGTTCCTAGATGCGAATGTCGTTTCTTGTGTCTTCTTGTTTCATTCCCTTGTGTTTTCATTCTGTCTTGCCGACCGTTCGAGTCACCCATCGTAACAAAGACGCCCAGACGTCCAATAGTGTGGGACGGTGTGCACCGCCAGAGAGGCTGTGCCAGTAACTGGCATCAAACGGGGCGTCGTAGAGGAGACGAGCTATTAGTGACTGCCACAGTTTAACCTTATTTGGGGTGGGAAAGGGGCTGGCGAGAGGTTGAAAGATGCCAAACGATAGGTTGGATTACTATGCTAGACTCATAACGCTGCCGCCCATTTCGCTATGTGAGTCACAGGGGCGGCGACGGCGTCGTTCCTGCCCTTTGACGGCTCCGTTTGGTGGTTTTGGCGCGGTTAGTGCTGGTCCCAACCCCAAATAGGCAAGACAACTGTTAGTTGCGCTTTCCTGTAATTGCCTGTGAGTCCGTGCAGAGCAACGCCGGCGATGTCGCACCTTCCCACTCGGAACGGTCTATATCTTTTGTAATGGTCGGGCTACCGATCCGATCGCACGGAAGGCGCCTCCACAAAGCAGACGACAGACGACGACAAGAGACGGCGAGAATACGACGACACAACGAGACGTCGAAACAACGAGATAAGGTGCTAACGAGACGGCGCAGTCTGATGCTCCGGTATTCTGACCGTTCTCACTTCCAGTGGCTGGCCGTGTTTTCTTTCACCTTGTGCTCCAGCTGACAGCTTGACGTGATTGTCTCCTCGTCATCCTCACCATTTTTTTTTCATGGACCCGTCACTCTCATTGATTTGGTAAGCTCACAGAATGACGACTTCTCAGCGCCGTTTCCACATGACGTAGCTGGCACGACGGTTGCGACGTCTTACAACACCTCCCATTTTGAGTGCAAGCGCCGGCTAGTGTATCTTCCCCCCAGCTGCTTGACCGCAACAATAAAATTCTCTGTGAATAAGATGGAACAACTACCGCCCGTTTCTTCACGGGTCTCGTCACATTTTTCGCGAAGATTGGACAACCACCGCCCTCCCCCCGTCTGTTCGTCACCAATCAACAACCAGGGCCCAACTCCGCTGTGACTCCAAAGCAAAGAAATCGTAAACGGCGCGGAAGAGCACAACCGTTTTCTCCGTAAGCAGCATCGCTGAGAGAGACAGCAAACAAGGAGTACTTCACCAGCCTTGTCTTGATGTCGATGTGGGCAGGACATACGCCAGAAAAGTACGAAATACATCTACGGCAATGGCCTTCCCGAGGTGAGACGGAGAACATGTGGCAGACGGAACCTCAAGGCATCAGCTGTACCTCTACACTTATAACAGTACACGCGCAAAGTGGAATAGGACAAGGTTCGGAGCGAGGCTCGGCGGCCACAAGAGACTAGCTTGGCGAGACCGGCCTCGATGTCGGGTCAAAAGGGGAAAAGGATTCGGACATTGGCTCGCCAACGCCGGAGCATGTTGTACCTTGCCTCAACTCTCTCAAAGTTTGGCTCGACGCAAAACTTGGAAACACACACCGGATATACGACTGTTTATCGGATAGTCAAAACCGATGTCGGA